ACAGTGGACATTATGTACACATGAGGAGCCTGCCTTTCTGTGCCACTGAGGGAGACATAGAATCACATTTATCTAGCACCCATAATCACTCCCATTCCTTTTTCCAATGATGTCAACACTTTAAAAGATCGTATTCACAGTACAATTATGCAACTCTAATTTGTACAATAATGATGTTCGTATCAGTCCCTTATTCTTTGGTGTGTGTGACTTTTGGTTTAGCTTTTATTACTATTGAGTCCTGTGCGAGTTCATATCGACGTTGGACCCAATGGAAAATCCACAGGCGATGCCAATGTTGAGTTTAGGTCTGATGAAGATGCCGTTTCAGCTATGTCAAAGGACAAGAATCACATGCGTATGTGGATCTCTAAGTCTCTTCAACTTTGCCCCGTTATGATAACCCCTTTCAATGTGAACCATAAAATATCAATGTTTTTTTGTTCTGCAGAACATCGATACATTGAGCTCTTCTTAAACTCAACTGCTAGTGGAGCATCTAAAATGGGTAAATAATTTTGATCATCTGCCTGTATTTCAGAAAACACGCAGACAACAATGGTTGAATCAATGTTTTTAATTTCTGGATTTATTTCCTGTTTGGTTTTAGGCTGTGGTGGTGGTTTCTATGGTAACTCAGGAGGCATGGGCTCGAGAGGGAGTGGACTGAGGGGGGGGGGGGGGGGGGTTATCTAAACCAACTAAACCTTGAAGTCTTGAAGATTGTATTTGAATGTTTTCACATGTTCATGAAAAGTACCTACTTAAAATATTTTATTATATATATTTGAGCAGTTGCATAGGCTAATCAGCTCTTGTCCATTTTACTTAATACATTTTATATTTAAATTCTCGGTTTGTCTCAGAATGTGATTATTTGAAGACCATTAGCAAGAATGCATATTTTAGTTCATTACTACTAGTGTAAGCTAATTTCCCCACTTCTGTCTGCATTATAGTCGCGCCGATAGGCTCAGGTTGATGCTCAATGTTAAATTCAAATCTTCCTACTATCACATCTAAACCAATATGACACCAATGTCGATGAAACTTCGCAAATCAACTAGATTGGAGGTACACAACACATTCCCTGCCTCTCTTCATGATCGGTTCAGCTGTTACCGAGAACATACCGTATAAAAAATAAAAATAATTTCCCCAACCTATCTTAAAATCTACGTGTCGGATAAGAACAAGACTACAGCGTCCATAAAGTGACCATTAGATTTGCCACCTTCCGAACTGAATAAGTTTGTAGGTGCAAATGTTATTCAAATGTATAATTTATCACTCACGTGCCAATAGGGAACCAACTATGTGCTACCTTTATGGCATTTCTGACAATGCTAATATATTTTCCAGCAGTATCTCAGAGTTCTATAAAACCGGGTCCAGCAACTCTGTTGCTCAGTTGCAGGGTTGTTATCAGTGAGCTGTTTCTGATTTGATAAGCCAATGAACGTGCTTTTGTTTTGATCAGCTAGCTAGCAGCTGTAGCTAGCTAAAATAACGTTATACCATTCAGCTGAGAGACATTGGCTTGCTAGCTAACCAACAAGCGAGGAAAGCTAGCTATATTTTGCTAAGGAAGGTTTTTCACAAGGCTTAAGTCATCGGTGTAAACTGCTGTTACACAGAAACTTGTGTGTAAGAGCAGAAACAAATATGCACAAATAAGTTGGCGAATGTCCTTGGCCGCTATAATAGCTGGTCCTCTGTAGCTCAGCTGGTAGAGCACGGCGCTTGTAACGCCAAGGTAGTGGGTTCGATCCCCGGGACCACCCATACACAAAAAAATTTATGCACGCATGACTGTAAGTCGCTTTGGATAAAAGCGTCTGCTAAATGGCATATTATTATTATTATAAGTTAGCTAGCTATGTAACATTAGTTGTTATGTATGGCCAGTTCATGCACTGGCTTTGTTCAAAGCAACGCCAAACTTTGGGAAACTGTCACAATGCGTATTGCAAAACTAGCTAGGCTACTCGAGGTAGCCAGATTTTAGACGGGACAAACCATGTTTACACTGCAACTAGCAATGCTAACGTTACATTCCTTCGACTAACAACCAAGAACACAAACAATAGCCGAGAAAATAAATATATTTGTTAAGAAACAGTTAGCTAGCTATGTTGAACCGTATACACTCATTGGCTGAACAACAAATGCACTACAGTGTGCAAATATGCAGACAATTTATCAGACTGACAGCATCGCCATTTCAAACATCCCGAATAAATTCTAGCTTCTCTCCTGCCTTCTTGACATTATAATCCACATTTGCGCTGACTGATCAACTGTCAAGCTACAAGTAAACTATACAAATATTTTTTTAAAGAAATATATATATATATATATATATATATATATATATATATATACACACACACACACACATACACATTGCTCAAAAAAATAAAGGGAACACTAAAATAAAACATCCTAGATCTGAATGAATGAAATAATCTTATTAAATACTTTTTCTTTACATAGTTGAATGTGCTGACAACAAAATCACACAAAAATTATCAATGGAAATCAAATTTATCAACCCATGGAGGTCTGGATTTGGAGTCACCCTCAAAATTAAAGTGGAAAACCACACTACAGGCTGATCCAACTTTGATGTAATGTCCTTAAAACAAGTCAAAATGAGGCTCAGTAGTGTGTGTGGCCTCCACGTGCCTGTATGACCTCCCTACAACGCCTGGGCATGCTCCTGATGAGGTGGCAGATGGTCTCCTGAGGGATCTCCTCCCAGACCTGGACTAAAGCATCCGCCAACTCCTGGACAGTCTGTGGTGCAACGTGGCGTTGGTGGATGGAGCGAGACATGATGTCCCAGATGTGCTCAATTGGATTCAGGTCTGGGGAACGGGCGGGCCAGTCCATAGCATCAATGCCTTCCTCTTGCAGGAACTGCTGACACACTCCAGCCACATGAGGTCTAGCATTATCTTGCATTAGGAGGAACCCAGGGCCAACCGCACCAGCATATGGTCTCACAAGGGGTCTGAGGATCTCATCTCGATACCTAATGGCAGTCAGGCTACCTCTGGCGAGCACATGGAGGGCTGTGCGGCCCCCCAAAGAAATGCCACCCCACACCATGACTGACCCACCGCCAAACCGGTCATGCTGGAGGATGTTGCAGGCAGCAGAACGTTCTCCACGGCGTCTCCAGACTCTGTCACGTCTGTCACATGTGCTCAGTGTGAACTTGCTTTCATCTGTGAAGAGCACAGGGCGCCAGTGGTGAATTTGCCAATCTTGGTGTTCTCTGGCAAATGCCAAACGTCCTGCACGGTGTTGGGCTGTAAGCACAACCCCCACCTGTGGACGTCGGGCCCTCATACCACCCTCATGGAGTCTGTTTCTGACCGTTTGAGCAGACACATGCACATTTGTGGCCTGCTGGAGGTCATTTTGCAGGGCTCTGGCAGTGCTCCTCCTGCTCCTCCTTGCACAAAGGCGGAGGTAGCAGTCCTGCTGCTGGGTTGTTGCCCTCCTACGGCCTCCTCCACATCTCCTGATGTACTGGCCTGTCTCCTGGTAGCGCCTCCATGCTCTGGACACTACGCCGACAGACACAGCAAACCTTCTTGCCACAGCTCGCATTGATGTGCCATCCTGGATGAGCTGCACTACCTGAGCCACTTGTGTGGGTTGTAGACTCCGTCTCATGCTACCACTAGAGTGAAAGCACCGCCAGCATTCAAAAGTGACCAAAACATCAGCCAGGAAGCATAGGAACTGAGAAGTGGTCTGTGGTCACCACCTGCAAAACCAGTCCTTTATTGGGGGTGTCTTGCTAATTGCCTATAATTTCCACCTGTTGTCTATCCATTTGCACAACAGCATGTGAAATGTATTGTCAATCAGTGTTGCTTCCTAAGTGGACAGTTTGATTTCACAGAAGTGTGATTGAGTTACATTGTGTTGTTTAAGTGTTCCCTTTATTTTTTTGAGCAGTGTATATTTAAAAAAAAAAAAGTGCTTACCCCAAAAATGGGCAACATAGTTTTAGTAGGTCAAAGCTGTGTGCTGGAAAACCTTGGTAGAGCGTCAGTGAAGTAGGCATTGTGGTGCACATGTGAATTTCCTTTTTTGGCTTCAGACCAATGCCTACTTCTTACAACCCAACCTGAGCCTGTCTTTAAGACATGTGCAGGAAGTAGAAAGTGAAATATGCTAACCTACTACCTGCTTTACCAAAAACAAACAAGTAAAGTGTGTTGTACAGTAATCTCTCATGGAGAGACTAACATATGTGAGGTTTTCTGTTCTGGGTTGCTGAGATTGGTAGGACTGTATCGGACTTGGAAACATCAACATTTTTTAATCGTTTATTGTAGTGACCTTTCAGTAAAAATCTTGCACATAGTATATTATAGTGAAAACCCTGATAGTTGTGCCTTACAACCTTGGTCAGGATTTAATCCGATCGCGCTTGTAGACAATGCAACTTTTAAAGGCAATTTCACAGCGTTCGCAGAGATCGCATTAATGGTAAACGTTTCATATGTCGGCTGTATTAGAAATTACCTTTAAAATGTCAAGCACGCTATAACGCGGATCTACCACAGAACGGATTGAATCACGCCCCTTCTTGGTTACATCAGATTTTCAATGAGGTTGTAATTCCACCACCAAACAATACAAGTAAATAGATGTATATTGATGTCATAATACTGTAAATACTTCAGTGCAGAGCCTTATAGCTCAATATTTCAGTATAAGTCTCTGCTTCATTACAAATCACATGGCGGTCTGTTGAGAGGGCAGTGTCTTGGTTTGAACCCAATCTGTCTATTGATCTTTCAAGACCTGCGCAACCAACTGTCACTTCCTTCAGCCTTCAGTTACAGTATCTGACTAATACCGTGTTAATCTTAGCCCATCTTATCTCACAACTGTAAACCCATTGTAGGCAGTGTTCAAGCGCATCAAAACCTTTATGTATCATGTAAATTGTGACTGACTGATGGATCTACAAATAATATTGAGTAGTTATTTATGATACAAGGTGATTTGTATATCAGTCAGTCTGGACTCGCCTTTAAAGTTGGCTGCTATGTCGAACTCTGTGTTAATAGCCCATCTTATATCTCACATTACTTCTATCCCAACATCCAGTAAACCAGTGGTTTATCTCATGTGTAGAACCACACAGACAGTGATGTGATAGTCTGTCTCTACGCATGTTGTGGGTGTGATCATTCAGTATCCCTGTCCTCTTCAGTGTCCCAGCTGTCCTCTTCTTCGTACACTACCTGTATATCATGTGGCTCCACTAACCGGCAACGTTTGATGACATCACTCTGTGAACTCTGGGGTCATGTGTAGCCTGAGTAGGTCCTGACCCCTCCTGATCACCATGGTGATGCTGTCGCTGGTCCTCACGGCGTTGTAGATCTCCTCCGACGTGTTCACCTTGGTGCCGTTGATCTCCAGCACTATGTCACCTGGCTTCATACCTGCCCTGTGGAGGGTTATAACGACACTGTCACCTAGCTTCATACCTGCCCTGTGGAGGGTTATAACGACACTGTCACCTAGCTTCATACCTGCCCTGTGGAGGGTTATAACGACACTGTCACCTAGCTTCATACCTGCCCTGTGGAGGGTTATAACGACACTGTCACCTAGCTTCATACCTGCCCTGTGGAGGGTTATAACGACACTGTCACCTAGCTTCATACCTGCCCTGTGGAGGGTTATAACGACACTGTCACCTAGCTTCATACCTGCCCTGTGGAGGGTTATAACGACACTGTCACCTAGCTTCATACCTGCCCTGTGGAGGGTTATAACAACACTGTCACCTAGCTTCATACCTGCCCTGTGGAGGGTTATAACAACACTGTCACCTAGCTTCATACCTGCCCTGTGGAGGGTTATAACGACACTGTCACCTAGCTTCATACCTGCCCTGTGGAGGGTTATAACGACACTGTCACCTAGCTTCATACCTGCCCTGTGGAGGGTTATAACGACACTGTCACCTAGCTTCATACCTGCCCTGTGGAGGGTTATAACGACACTGTCACCTAGCTTCATACCTGCCCTGGGATTGTAATTGAATATGGAGACCTTATATGGACATTACACAGTGCTCGCCTATTGGTTGGAGAGCCCATAGACATTACAACACGGTGTTCACCTATTGGCTGGAGAGCCCATAGACGTTACAACATGGTGCTCACCTGTTGGCTGGAGAGCCCATAGACGTTACAACATGGTGCTCACCTATTGGCTGGAGAGCCCATAGACGTTACAACATGGTGCTCACCTATTGGCTGGAGAGCCCATAGACGTTACAACACTGTGCTCACCTATTGGCTGGAGAGCCCATGATGACCCGGTGGATCATGATCCCGTGAGTGACGTCAGGGAAGGAGGAATCCCTCAGCTTCAACTCGGCAATGATACTGCAACAGAATAGACATTCAACTATGACTAAATCCTCCACTGTCATTCCTCCATTACCCCAGGTAGGTGATAGCTTTCCTGCTGTCATATGACCTTTACCTTGGAGTCAGGGTCAGCATCATGACGCCGATGTATCTCCGCTTGGTGTCCAACTCCCCCAACCGAGACTCTAGGAGAGAATCACAAAAACCAACACTTCCAAGAAGTACAAATAACTGCAAGGGTCTATGGTCCTATTAGCCTGGTCTCAGATCTGTTGGTGGTGTCTGGCCTTGTCCTATAGTCACACCATGACCATAGGAGCCAACATAGGAATTGTCAGGACAGCACAAACAGATCTGGGACCAGGCACGGTAAAGTAACTCACTCTTCTTGTCGGAGGCTTGGTTCAGGAAGTGTTTGACGTGATCTGAGGGGATCGCGAAGGAGATCCCTGCCGTCACCTTCATGGTGTTGATGCCGATCACCTCACCATCCAGATTAATCAGAGGCCCTCCAGAATTCCCAAACTGCAAGACAGAACAAGCCAGACGCATTATTGATCACGGTGTCAGAGGAAGGCCCTAAAAATGGTCAAAGACTCCAGCCACCCTAGTCATAGACTGTTCTCTCTGCTACCGCACGGCAAGCGGTACCGGAGCGCCAAGTCTAGGTCCAAGAGGCTTCTTAACAGCTTCTACCCCCAAGCCATAAGCTAATCAAATGGCTACCCGGACTATTTGCATTGCCCCCACACCCCCTCTTTTACGCTGCTGCTACTCTCTGATTATTATCTATGCATAGTCACTTTAACTCTACCTACATGTACATATGACCTCAATTACCTTGACTAACCGGTGCCCCCGCACATTGACTCTGTACTGGTACCCCCTGTATATAGCCTCGCTACTGTTATTTTTACTGCTGCTCTTTAATTATTTGTTACTTTTATTTTTTATTTTTTATTAAAACTGCATTGTTGGTTAAGGGCTTGTAAGTAAGCATTTCACTGTAAGGTCTACACCTGTTGTATTCGGCGCATGTGACAAATACAATTTGATTCACACATTTGGAGAACAAAACGCTTTACTCGTACTAGCACTGATTTAGCAGATAGCGGCTTGTGATATGTGGTTGTTCATACTAATGGTTCCTTACAAGCTGAACACACCGATTGTACGTTTCTCTGGACAAGAGTGTCTACTAAATTACTACTGCCGATTAGCTCACATCCATGACCAGACCAGTGGAGTTACATCGACGGCAGTGGACCACAATGCTTTACTATCAGGCTTACTGTCAATGCTTTACTATCAGGTTAGGCTTACTGTCAATGCTTTACTAGCAGGTTAGGGTTACTGTCAATGCTTTACTAGCAGGTTAGGGTTACTGTCAATGCTTTACTAGCAGGTTAGGGTTACTGTCAATGCTTTACTAGCAGGTTAGGGTTACTGTCAAATGCTTTACTAGCAGGTTAGGGTTACTGTCAATGCTTTACTAGCAGGTTAGGGTTACTGTCAATGCTTTACTAGCAGGTTAGGGTTACTGTCAATGCTTTACTAGCAGGTTAGGGTTACTGTCAATGCTTTACTAGCAGGTTAGGGTTACTGTCAATGCTTTACTAGCAGGTTAGGGTTACTGTAAATAGACCAGGGTACTCACATCGATGGCAGCGTCTGTCTGGATATAGTCCATGTTGGGTTTGGACAGACCCAGCTCCTTGCTGCCCCGCTGGACTGAGGAGACAATACCTGACGTGATGGTGTTCCTCAGGGCGAACGGGCTGCCCATGGCAACCACAAACTCCCCCTGACGCACATCCGACGACAGCCCCCAGAGAGAGGGTCGGGAGAATGGTCACAGTTAAGGGTAGGTGCTACGAGAGAGAGTCTACAGATAGAGGAAGTGCTACAGAGAGGAAGACGGAGTGCACAAGGAAAGGTGCTACAAGTAGGAGAAGACAGGAGGTCTCGAATGCTACAGAGGTAGGGTAGATGCTACAGAGGAGAGAAGGTGCTACGAGTTAGAGGAGCGTTGCTACAGCAGTTGGGTACGAATGCGTCTACGAGGGTAGGAGCGTTCTACAGAGGTAGACGGATGCTACAGAGGATAGGGTTACTGAGATGAAGAGGGAGAGGTGCTACAAGGAGAGAGGTCTACAGGATTGAAGGGAACGGTGCACGAGAGAAGCAGAGGGTGCTACAGAGGAGAGAGGTGTGCTACGAGAGAGAGGAAGTGCTACAGAGATGAAGGAGGTGCTACAGGAGGAGAGAGGTCTACAGAAGGAAGAGGAGAGAGGTGCTACAAGAGAGGAGAGTAGGGAGAGGGTGCTACAGAGAGGAGAGACGAAGGTCTACAGAGAGGAGAGGGAGAGGTGCTACAGAGAGGAGAGGTGCTACAAGAAGAGAGGTGCTACAGGAGGGAGAGGGTGCTACAGAGAGGAGAGAGGGTGCTACAGAGAGGAGAGAGGGAGAGGGTGCTACAGAGAGGAGAGAGGGTGCTACAGAGAGGAGAGAGGGAGAGGTGCTACAGAGAGGAGAGAGGGTGCTACAGAGAGGAGAGAGGAGAGGGTGCTACAGAGGAGAGAGGGTCTACGAGAGGAGGGGGTGCTACAGAGAGGAGAGAGAGGGTGCTACAGAGAGAGAGGAGAGAGGGTGCTACAGAGAGGAGAGACGGAGAGGGTGCTACAGAGAGGAGAGACGGAGAGGGTGCTACAGAGAGGAGAGACGGAGAGGGTGCTACAGAGAGGAGAGAGGTGCTACAGAGAGGTGAAGAGAGGTAAAGAGAGGAGGGGTGCTACAGAGGAGGGAGATAAGAGGAGAGAGGTGCTACAGAGAGGAGAGGAGAGGTGCTACAGAGAGGAGACGGAGAGGGTGCTACGGGGAGAGGAGAGTGAAGAGACGGAGAGAGGGTGCTACAGAGAGGGAGAGGGAGAGAGGTGCTACAGAGAGGAAGAGGAGAGGGTGCTACAGAGAGGAGAGACGGAGAGGGTGCTACAAGAGAGGAGAGAGAGAGGGTGCTACAGAGAGGAGAGAGGAGAGGGTGCTACAGAGAGAAGAGGAGACGGTGCTACAGAGAGGAGAGAGGTGTAAGAGGAGAGAGGTGCTACAGGAGAGAGAGGTTAAGAGAGCGGAGAGGGTGCACAGAGGGAAGCGGAGAGGGTGCTACAGAGAGGAGAGACGGAGAGGGTGCTACAGAGAGGAGAGACGGAGAGGGTGCTACAGAGGAGGAAGAGAGAGGGTGCTACAGAGAGGAGAGACGGAGAGGGTGCTACAGAGAGGAGAGGAGGGTGCTACAGAGAGGAGGAGAGACGAGAGGGATGCTACAGAGAGGAAGAGGAGAGGGTGCTACAGAGAGGAGAGAGAGGGTGCTACAGAGAGAGAGACGAGGAGGGGCTACAGAGAGGAGAGAGGGAGGGTGCTACAGAGAGAGAGAGAGACGGGAGAGGGTGCTACAGAGAGGAGAGGAGGGGTGCTACAGAGAGGAGAGGACGGAGAGGGTGCTACAGAGAGGAGAGACGGAGAGGGTGCTACAGGGGGAAGGTTACAGAGAGGGAGAGAGGTGCTACAGAGAGGAGAGAGGGTGCTACAGAGAGGAGAGAGGGTGCTACAGAGAGGAGAGACGGAGAGGGTGCTACAGAGAGGGGAGAGGGTGCTACAGAGAGGAGAGAGGGAGAGGGTGCTACAGAGAGGAGAGACGGAGAGGGTGCTACAGAGAGGAGAGAGGGAGACGGTGCTACAGAGAGGAGAGACGGAGAGGGTGCTACAGAGAGGAGAGAGGGAGACGGTGCTACAGAGAGGAGAGAGGGAGACGGTGCTACAGAGAGGAGAGACGGAGAGGGTGCTACAGAGAGGAGAGAGGGAGAGGGTGCTACAGAGAGGAGAGACGGAGAGGGTGCTACAGAGAGGAGAGAAGGGTGCTACAGAGAGGAGAGAGGGAGAGGGTGCTACAGAGAGGAGAGAGGGTGCTACAGAGAGGAGAGAGGAGAGAGGTGCTCAGAGGAGAGGAGGTGCTACAGAGAGGAGAGGAGAGGGATGCTACAAGAGGAGGGGGTGCTAAGAGAGGAGAGAAGGGTGCTACAGAGAGGCGAGAGAGGGTGTCTACAGAGAGGAGAGAGAGAGGAGAGGGTGCTACAGAAGAGAGAGAGAGGGTGCTACAGAGAGGAGAGAGGAGAGAGGGTGCTACAGAGAGGAGAGACGGAGCTACAGAGAGGGGAGAGGGTGCTACAGAGAGGGGAGAGGGTGCTACAGAGAGGAGAGAGGATGCTACAGAGAGGAGAGGGGGTGCTACAGAGAGGAGAGAGAGGGTGCTACAGAGAGGCGAGAGAGGGTGCTACAGAGAGGAGAGAGGAGAGAGGGTGCTACAGAGAGGAGAGAGGGTGCTACAGAGAGGAGAGACGGAGAGAGGGTGCTACAGAGAGGAGAGAGGGTGCTACAGAGAGGAGAGAGGGTGCTACAGAGAGGCGAGAGAGGGTGCTACAGAGAGGAGAGAGGGTGCTACAGAGAGGAGAGACGGAGAGAGGGTGCTACAGAGAGGAGAGAGGGTGCTCCAGAGAGGAGAGCGGGTGCTACAGAGAGGAGAGAGGGGGAGAGGGTGCTACAGAGAGGAGACAGACAGAGCGAGCGAGAGTAGAGAGGGTACTACAGAGAGGAGAGACAGAGAGAGTAGGGAGAGGGTGTCACGTCTCAATCATAACCTTATCTTACCTGGGCATTTATTTTTATAGTGGCTATGTCCGCCACCTGATCAACGTCTTGAACAGTGGCGTTATACGTCTCCCCATTGGTTAGCTTGACCCGGACTCCTCTCTTATTGGCCACTACATGGGCATTGGTGACTATGAGCCCATCACTGCTGATGATGAACCCAGAACCATTCGAGATGGGGACTTCCCGACCGGAGAACGGGTGCCTGTCAGTGTCATAGTGGAACATTATTAGAATAGAATACGTTATTGTCCATTGGTTATAACGGAAATTTTGAACGGCATTTTCCCAACACCCCCAGATACAGTTGAAGTCGGAAGTATACATACACTTAGGTTGGAGTCATTAAAACTTGTTTTTCAACCACTCCACACATTTCTTGTTAACAAACTATAGTTTTGGCAAGTCGGTTAGGACATCTACTTTGTGCATGACACCAGTAATTTTTCCAACAATTGTTTACAGACAGATTATTTCACTTATAATTCACTGGATGACAATTCCAGTGGGTCAGAAGTTTACATACACTAAGTTGACTGTGCCTTTAAACAGCTTGCAAAATTCCAGAAAATTATGTCATGGCTTTAGAAGCTTCTGATAGGCTAATTGACATAATTTGAGTCAATCGGAGGTGTACCTGTGGATGTATTTCAAGGCCTACCTTGAAACTCAGTGCCTCTTTGCTTGACATCATGGGAAAATCTAAAGAAATCAGCCAAGACCTCAGAAAAAAAATTGTAGACCTCCACAAGTCTGGTTCATCCTTGGGAGCAATTTCCAAACGCCTGAAGGTACCACGTTCATCTGTACAAACAATAGTACGCAAGTATAAACACCATGGGACCACGGAGCCGTCATACCGCTCAGGAAGGAGACGTGTTCTGTCTCCTAGAGATGCAAATCAATCCCAGAACAACAGCAAAGGACCTTGTGAAGATGCTGGAGGAAACAGGTACAAAAGTATCTATATCCACAGTAAAACAAGTACTATATCGACATAACCTGAAAGGCCACACTCAGCAAGGAAGAAGTCACTGCTCCAAAACCGCTATAAAAAAGCCAGACTACGGTTTGCAACTGCACATGGGGACAAAGATCTTACTTTTTGGAGAAATGTCCCCTGGTCTGATAAAACAAAAATAAAACTGTTTGGCCATAATGACCATCGTTATGTTTGGAGGAAAAAGGGGGCTGCTTGCAAGCCAAAGAACACCATCCCAACCGTGAAGCATGGGGGTGGCAGAATCATGCTGTGGGGATGCTTTGCTGCAGGAGGGACTGGTGCACTTCACAAAATAGATGGCATCATGAGGAAGAAAAATTATGTGGATATATTGAAGCAACATCTCAAGACATCAGTCAGGAAGTTAAAGCTTGGTCGCAAATGGGTCTTCCAAATGGACAATGACCCCAAGCATACTTCCAAAGTTGTGGCAAAATGGCTTAAGGACAACAAAGTCAAGGTATTGGAGTGGCCATCACAAAGCCCAGACCTCAATCCTATAGAACATTTGTGGGCAGAACTGAAAAAGTGTGTGCGAGCAAGGAGGCCTACAAACCTGACTCAGTTACACCAGCTCTGTCAGGGGGAATGGGACAAAATTCACCCAACTTATTGTGGAAGGCTACCCGAAACGTTTGACCCAAGTTAAACAATTTAAAGGCAATGCTACCAAATACTTATTGAGTGTATGTAAACTTCTGACCCACTGGGAATGTGATGAAAGAGATATAAGTAATTCTCTCTACTATTATTCTGACATTTCACATTCTTAAAATAAAGTGGTGATCCTAACTGACCTAAGACAGGGAATTTTTACTAGGATTAAATGTCAGGAATTGTGAAGAACTAAATTTAAATGTATTTGGCTAAGTTGTATGTAAACTTCCTACTTCAACTGTACACACACACAGGCACAGGGTCAGCTGCAGTGCCTGGATGGAGAGCAATTGTTGGTCAGGGTTTATCATTAACTTGGTCCCAGATCTGTTTGTGCTCTTGCCAACTCCATTGCTGTCATTTTCAATCTAAACATGACATGATAATCAGTGACAAGGAGTTGGCATGATAGCACGAACGGGACTGGCACTCAGGCTAGTTTGTCATAATAACAAAATAAATATCAACTGCATAAAAGTGATCATATGATCTTACCGGCCGACGATTTCAATATACACGACAGCGGGCGTAGATTTTTCGACCACATCCGCAATGAAGTTGTACTTGAATCGTGGACTGTCGGGTTTGAAAGGGGAGGCACAGTGAGCTGTTGACAAGACACGTTCTAGGATCGAACCACAAAGTAAAGCTCTCCTCTCACAAACGTTCTCCTCATCCCCTCTGAAATGCAGAACTGCCGCACTACCGAGTCCCAACCCAACAGCGACTGACTTGAGGAGAGTAGTCCGATCTGAGCCACTGCCCCTGCCACCTCCTCTTGTGGTCCAAATGGTGGGTACATTGTTGACATAACAGGTGTTATCTCCCGTTGAGTGCTGTTTGTAACCGACAGAAGCACCGGAAACTCGTCCTAGTGTTCGCTTGTTCAAAACGTTACATTGTCGGAGATGTTCCCGGGTGTACCTCCTGATTACCCAGAATAGCGGACGATTGACATGTGTTGACATGTTGTTGCATCAGTCAGAATAGAGTGAAATAACTTTTACAACAAATTCAACAATTCACACTCCTTTCTTGACCATAAGGATCTACAACTCTTTGACCTTAGTAACGCACGAATTTATAAAAAACGTAATAATAAAACATTAAAAACTGTGGCTACTGGCTAGATACACGTAGCAGCTGTCAGACCACGACCTAGCTAGGTCGAAAAAATAACCAGCGTCTCGTCAGCAACGCACACAAAAAAAGCTTCCGGGTCACAGAATTTCAGAAACGTTCCAAATAAAAGCCCCCCCACGTAATAGTAGAAACGTGTAATTAACCTGTATTTATTCATGATATATGAACAATAATTATCTAATCATTAACACTGATTTATATTTGTTCATATGTAAGTGACATTTGCATTACATTTGAGTTTTAAAACATGTTCCAAAGTCAAATAAATGCCCCCAATGCAATACAGTGTATAAAAAAATACATATAGGCTTATATAGAGAACTATTCTGGGTGCCGAAGTAAAAGTGGGGTTGGGATTACTCACTAGGGTCTGTAGAATCTATATATGGTGTTATTCATGGAGGACTGAGGTCTAAATGCCCAGCAACACTTTCAACTCCACCCACTCTATTCACTGCAAAGCAAAACACTGTATACCTATAGGTGATTACATTTTACATTTACATTTTAGTCATTTAGCAGACGCTCTTATCCAGAGCGACTTACAGTTAGCACATACATTATTTTATCGAACCCACAACCCTGGCGTTGCAAACGCCATGCTCTACCAACTGAGCTACATCCCCTGCTGGCCATTCCCTCCCCTACCCTGGACGACGCTGGGCCAATTGTGCGCCGCCCCATGGGTCTCCCGGTCGCGGCCGGCTACTACAGAGCCTGGATTCGAACCAGGATCTCTAGTGGCACAGCTAGCACTGCGATGCAGTGCCTTAGACCAACAACACAATGTAAACAATGATGTGACTGGCATATCTGTTAACGACCTAGATTAACATGATGATGAGCCAGTTGCGCCTTTAACACATTTAAATCAGTAATTCTCTTTAGTTTAGATTTTCCCCCATGTAGTTATCATTTTAACATTATGCACTGTGCAAAGCTGCAAAAAATATTGATTTTGTATGATATACTTTATTTTGAAGGCAAAATCCCCCGGAAGTCTTAATGTTGCTGCCGTGAAGCTAATTTATCTTCAACCTAGATCGATAAACACTTTTCACGCCACTTCGATACTGAAGTGACTTTTTCGTAGCAGGTTAGGATAATTAGGGGACACCGTCCCAACCTAGATCACGACCATAAAGATAGAAACCTCTAGTGGCCAAAATGCCATTTTAGTATGGGCAGCGCCATTGAGGGCTACCAACATTTTAATGTTGTCCATTGGGTGGGGGACTTCAGACTTCATTGGCTGATCCCTCCTGGTGAACCTTTTGGAGTCATGTCCAACCGGGTCATGACGAGATATCAGCCAATCGTGAAGAAGAAAATTCAACTCTGCAAGGAAATGTACAGTGGTTTGTCTAGAAGGGATACAGCTTTTGCCAAAATTGACTTTTCGTAGCAGGTTTAGGAGAACTTACACAGCAGGTAAGGATAATTAACGCTGCACAGGTTAGGATAATTAACATAGCAGGTTTGGATAATTAGGTTAAGGTTAGGAAAAGGGTTAGGGTTAGCTAAAATGCAAAAAGAAGTTAATTTTTGACGTCAATTTGACAAAAGCAGTATCCCGTCTAGACATGACCCTGTGCGGTGGGCTGTCAAATCTATGAGTTGAGTTCCGCCCAACTACATTGCAGAAGCATGCCAGATCTTACAATGCCTGGATAGATATAGCCATTTTTGCTAGTCTACTCTGAGGGGGTCGTCACTAGTTACCACAGCCACAAAGTCATAAACCCCACCTATTTCTACAATTTCTCTTCTTAAAATGTGATTTTAAACCTAACCTTAACCACACTGCTAACCTTATGCCTAAACCTAACCTCAAATTAAGACCAAAAAGCTCATTTCTGTTTTCATGAATTTTTATGATATAGTCTATTTTGACTTTGTGGCTGTGCCATCCCTCGGCAAAAATGGCCATGTGGTGAAGAGGACTGCGCTGCAGTGTCTCCGTCACTGCAGTCTCCCTCACTGCAGCACAGTCCTCTTCACCACAGGCCATCTTTGTCGATGGCAAAGATATAGTTCTTAAGATTGTCCAGGGCTTCCATAATAAGCTGGTCATGGTTCTCCTGGGTGATGAAGCTCTTGGCTTCCTCCTGGAACATCAAATCAAAGTTTATTTTGTCTGGTGCACAGGATAAAACAGGTGTAAATTGTAAAACTGTCCAGCGAAATGCTTACTTACAAGCTCTTTCTCAACAATGCAGTGTTCAATATCAAAGGTAAGAAAATAGAAAATACACAATAGGATCATAAAGAGCACAGATCAGATATCTAAAAACTAAAAACTAATTTACAACAAATCTAAGAATAAAAACACATAGGTAGTGGTGGGTAAGCCATCCTACTCAAATGTACTGTCTATGTAAATGTCCATCAGCAGTTGTAAAAAGTGCTTTACAGTTAGTTCCCTAGCCTAAACCCCACAGAGCAAGCAATGCAGAGCAAGAAGCAAAGTAGTGAGGAAAAACTCCCAAGAAGGCAGGAACCTAAGGAACCAGGCTCCGAGGGGTGGGCAGTCCTCTTCTGGTTTTACCGGGTAGAGATTTAAGAGTACGTGGCCATAAAACCAGGGTCCAATGTACTCACTAGAGTCCCTAGAATACAAAACCGGTCAGTTTACACAAAAAATGTCATTTCTGGAAGAGAGCTTTGTAAATTAATAGGGGTAAGGGTTTGGTAAAAGTTATGGTTAAAGTATGGGTAAGTATTAGATTTTGGCTAATCTGGCTGTCTGGAGAATATTTGGCCCACTTATATGGTGTTATGGGATAAGTGAGAAAGAGAGGTAATTACATTTCCAGTGTGTCTTTAGACTCCTGGCTCAAGTAGAATAAAATGCTACCATAGAATAAAATTATAACAATTGAACAGAAATGTAATAAGGATTAAAGTAAGTTTGATCACACAGATAGTTTCATTGCACAAAATAGTACGCATTATCATCTGGATGTATGCAACAAAAGTTCAACATTCACCTTCTGCTACCATTTCAGTCAAGCCGTCTACGCATACAGTTTGACGCACTGCAACTGCCTCTGCAACGCAATGCTGCAAGGCAAACGCAGCGTTCCATTGGAAATGAATGTACAGTTGAAGTCGGAAGTATACAAACACCTTAGCCAAATACTGTACATTTAAACTCAGTTTTTCACAATTCCTGACATTTAATCCTAGTAAAAATTCCCTGTCTTAGGTCAGTTAGGATCACCACTTTATTTTAAGAATGTGAAATGTCAGAATAATAGTAGAGAGAATGATTTATTTCAGCTTTTATTTCTTTCATCACATTCCCAGTGGGTCAGAAGTTTACATACACTCAATTAGTATTTGGTAGCATTGCCTTTAAATTGTTTCACTTGGGTCAAACGTTTCGGGTAGCCTTCCACAAGCTTCCCACAATAAGTTGGGTGAATTTTGGCCCATTCCTCCTGACAGAGCTGGTGTAACTGAGTCAGGTTTGTAGGCCTCCTTGCTCGCACACACTTTTTCAGTTCTGCCCACAAATGTTCTATAGGATTGAGGTCAGGGCTTTGTGATGGCCACTCCAATACCTTGACTTTGTTGTCCTTAAGCCATTTTGCCATAACTTTGGAAGTACAGTGAGGGAAAAAAGTATTTGATCCCCTGCTGATTTTGTACGTTTGCCCACTGACAAAGACATGATCAGTCTATAATTTTAATGGTAGGTTTATTTTTAACAGTGAGAGACAGAATAACAACCAAAAAATCCAGAAAAACGCATGTAAAAATGTTATAAATTGATTTGCATTTTAATGAGGGAAATAAGTATTTGACCCCTATGCAAAACATGACTTAGTACTTGGTGGCAAAACCCTTGTAGGCAATCAGAGGTCAGACGTTTCTTGTAGTTGGCCACCAGGTTTGCACACATCTCAGGAGGGATTTTGTTCCACTCCTCTTTGCAGATCTTCTCCAAGTCATTAAGGTTTCGAGACTGACGTTTGGCAACTCGAACCTTCAGCTCCCTCCACAGATTGTCTATGGGATTAAGGTCTGGAGACTGGCTAGGCCACTCCAGGACCTTAATGTGCTTCTTCTTGAGCCACTCCTTTGTTGCCTTGGCCGTGAGTTTTGGGTCATTGTCATGCTGGAATACCCATACACGACCCATTTTCAATGCCCTGGCTGAGGGAAGGAGGTTCTCACCCAAGATTTGACGGTACATGGCCCCGTCCATCGTCCCTTTGATGCGGTGAAGTTGTCCTGTCCCCTTAGCAGAAAAACACCCCCAAAGCATAATGTTTCCACCTCCATGTTTGATGGTGGGAATGGTGTTCTTGGGGTCATAAGCAGCATTCCACCTCCTCCAAACACGGCGAGTTGAGTTGATGCCAAAGAGCTCAATTTTGGTCTCATCTTTCACCCAGTTCTCCTCTGAATCATTCAGATGTTCATTGGCAAACTTCAGAATTTCAGTCCTTCACGGCGTAGTGTGTTACCAATTGTTTTCTTGGTGACTATGGTCCCAGCTGCCTTGAGATCATTGACAAGATCCTCCCGTGTAGTTCTGGGCTGATTCCTCACCGTTCTCATGATCATTGCAACTCCACGAGGTGAGATCTTGCATGGAGCCCCAGGCCGAGGGAGATTGACAGTTATTTTGTGTTTCTTCCATTTGCGAATAATCGCACCAACTGTTGTCACCTTCTCACCAAGCTGCTTGGCAATGGTCTTGTAGCCCATTCCAGCCTTGTGTAGGTCTACAATCTTGTCCCTGACATCCTTGGAGAGCTCTTTGGTCTTGGCCATGGTGGAGAGTTTGGAATCTGATTGATTGATTGCTTCTGTGGACAGGTGTCTTTTATACAGGTAACAAGCTGAGATTAGGAGCACTCGCTTGGCTGATTTCTTTTGATTTTCCCATGATGTCAAGCAAAGAGGCACTGAGCTTAAGGTAGGCCTTGAAATACATCCACAGGTACACCTCCAATTAAGTCAAATGATGTCAATTAGCCTATCAGAAGCTTCTAAAGCCATGACATCATTTTCTGGAATTTTCCAAGCTGTTTAAAGGCACAGTCAACTCAGTGTATGTAAACTTCTGACCCACTGGAATTGTGATACAGTGAATTATAAGTGAAATAATCTGTCTGTAAACAATTGTTGGAAAAATTACTTGTGTCATGCACAAAGTAGATGTCCTAACCGACTTGCCAAAACTATAGTTTGTTAACAAGACATTTGTGGAGTTTGTACTTCTGGTGTACCAAAATGCAATGATGCTGTCGGTGTGATCGAGGCGTTACTACGACTAAGGTTGGGATCAATTCCGTCACTTTGAGTCATTCCATATCAACTGACATTCCAATTGTTCTATTTGAATAGCTATTTCAGTCTCCTGAATTGAAATGGAATTGACTAGGGATGGGCGCGAGTACTCGATTCAAGGTTTGTATTCAACAAAATGTAAAACTCTAAGATGTGTTTGTTGTTTGTGGAGTATGTCAGGTGCAGTCAAAATGTTAAATGTCATTTTCAGTTGTCAGAACAACCAGTATTTGGAACAACCGATAGCATACTGCAGACTTTTTTGGGGGGCCTTCAGCCCTGTTTCACACTAACATTCGAGTACTCTAAATAACTTCCATAAGAGTACTCCAAGACAGACATTCTTTCAAATGCCCATCCCTAGAATTGACCACACCACTGCCTACAACTGCAATTAGGCTACCCAGAATCTTTTCGGTCATGAAAACTGCCATTGAAGTTAAAATAATAATAATAATAATAATAATAATAATGTGTATATTATGTAGGCTACATCTCTACCTGACAAAGAACATTTACAAAAAGTAACCATCTACAAAATAAAGTAAAACAGTTGTGCTTAGCGCATGATTGATGCCTTAAGTGACATATTCTTCAAGAATCATGGAATTTACCATTGAACAGAATCCCAGATTTCAGACAGTACCTTTAACCAAGAGCAGTGACCTGAGGGGTATGTCCTCTTAATATTGTATCTTCCAACTAACACATTTTACACAAAGGGTTTTCACGTGTTCTCAGTCATTATGAATATTCTTTCTGTGAGTTCGCAGATGTCTTTTCAGACTTGATGCTAACTTCAAGTGAGTTCCACACAAATGACATTGCACTCCCTCACCTCTATGAGTCCTCATATGAACTGTCAGGCTTCCCTTCAGACCGAAGCATCTGCCACATTCATTACAGCGATGTGGTTTCTCCTCTGTGTGAGTCATCATATGCTTTGACAGCCTTCCATTCTCACCAAAGCATTTGCCACATTCTTTGCACCAAAATGGTTTCTCCCCAGTGTGAATCCTCATATGTTTTTTCAGGTTTGACCTGCAGAAAAAGGCTTTGTCACATTCTTTACACCGATGCGATTTCTGTTCGGTGTGCTTTTTCTGATGAAATTTCAGACCACCTTTTGTCGTCAAGCATCTTCCACACACGTCACATTTTCCTGATGCCATTTCAAATTCGCTGCTGTCGCCAATAATTTTCCGCACACGTCACGTTTCAGATCAGGCAACTCACTGGTGTTTCCTTGGCCGTCTTCTTCCCCCCTTTGATCTGAGAGGCTTTAACCCTGACGGTGGTATTCTACTCACCACTCCATCCACTTTTTCATTATCACCTTCACTGTCTGGATTTACATCAGACGGGGGCTGATAGTCACTGGTTGATTGGGACTCTCTGTTGCTCTCGTCTTCAGATTCTGTTTGGTTCTCTACCGTTATGATGTTTATAGAGTCCCATATAGACTCTACGGCATCAAACTCCACCGGCCCCAGACTGGCACGCCATTCCTGCTCACAGTGCTGTTGGCCACGGTTAACCTCCTCTTCAGAAAGAGTGAGTTGCTGGAGGTCTGGAGGGAAGAAAGGATGAAACTTAAACACTGAAAAGAGACAAGAAATAGGGCTATTACCTACCTTTGACTGATTATTGGACTTAACACACAATGCATCCCAGTAAAATATAATAGGTCTACTCTTTCAAAAATGGATTAGATACAATTGAATACAAAATGGCCTAAAATATAGATTATGAATAACATATTGTTTTTGCTGTGAAATTGGTAGCCTATGGTAATTGCAGTGTCATAAAAGGGTCTTATGAACGCCTCTTAACAGTTGCAGGTGGAACTCCGATAAGAGACTTCAGAAAAATATTGAATTCACTTTTTATACCAAGTGAGAAATGTCTCTGGCATGTGTGTAGATCGTTGTTTTGTGTTATTTGAGGGTGTGTTCGTAAATTCACTCTGGAGTGCCTGAGTGCGCTCTGGGCGATCGTAAATTCAGAGCGTTTTTGATCCGAGCGTTCCGACCTCACAACCAAGCTAACTGGCTAAAGTTGGCTAGCGTGCTAGCTACTTCCAGACAAATGAGAGAACACCTCATTCTGACCATTTTACTCACCTTAGCAGAGCTGGTTAGGCTGTTTTCATGTTATCTAGAGTGTTGTTGACTGTAACTGTGCTGCTGTCAAGAATTGAATTACGTTTCTTTGCCGACCTTGACTGACACCGGTCATATTCAACGTTGACTGACACCGGTCACATTCGTTAATTACTCAGTTATTCTGCGCTCTGGCACACTCAGACAAGAGTGCTCTGAAATCGGAGTAGATAGCCAGAGTGAATTTACGAACGCACCCTGAGTCGCGCTGTCATCTTCTTCTACATGTGGCCGTGTCACTTAGAAATTAATACTTCCTGCAAAGATGTTGGGAAATGCGAGATCTCCGGCAGCTAAATTGGAAAGGGAGTTCCTCACTGTGCAAAAAAATTGTTTAAATATTGTTCTGATTATTCTCTGGTTATCGGAGTTCCACCTGCAACTGGAAACAGGCGTTTATAAGACACCCAGTGCCTTCCGAATCCAAAATGAATAAAGTATTGCCAAATGGAGGTTGGTTGAAAATAAGTTTACCAGCTTAGCTATGCCCCTGGAGGTTCTAAATAGATTGGCTATACTTACAGTGCATTCGGAAAGTATTCAGACCGCTTTACTTTTTCAACATTTTGTTACGTTACAGCCTTATTCTAAAATTGATAAAATAAATAAAAATCCTCAATCAATCTACACACAATACCCCATAATGACAAAGCGAAAACAAGTTATTATAAATTTTTGTATTAAACATAAAAACCAGAAATACCTTATTTACATAAGTATTCAGACCCTTTGCTATGAGACTCGAAATTGAGCTCAGGTACATCCTGTTTCCATTGATCATCCTTGAGATGTTTCTACAACTTGATTGGAGTCCACCTGTGGTAAATTCAATTGAATGGACATGATTTGGAAAGGCACACACCTGTCTATATAAGGTCCCACAGTTGACAGTGCATGTCAGAGCAAAAAACAAGCCATGAGGTTGAAGGAACTGCCCATAGAGCTCCGAGACAGGACTGTGTCGCGGCACAGACCTGAAGAAGGGTACCAAAAAATGTCTGCAGCATTGAAGGTCCCCAAGAACACAGTGGCCTCAATCATTCTTAAATGGAATAAGTTTGGAACCACCAAGACTCTTCCTAGAGCTGGCCGCCCGGCCAAACTGAGCAATCGGGGGAGAAGGGCCTTGGTCAGGGAGGTGACCAAGAACCCGATGGTCACTCTTACAGAGCTCTAGAGTGCCTCTGTGGAGATGGGAGAACCTTCCAGAAGGACAACCATCTCTGCAGCACTCCACCAATCAGGCCTTTATGGTAGAGTGGCCAGACAGAAGCCACTGCTCAGTAAAAGGCACATGACAGCCCACTTAAAGACTCTCAGACCATGAGAAACAAGATTCTGTGGTCTGATGAAACCAAGATAGAACTCGTTGGCCTGAATGCCAAGCGTCACGTCTGGAGGAAACCTGGCACCATCCCTACGGTGAAGCATGGTGGTGGCAGTCTCTGAATGTCCTTGAGTGGCCCAGCCAGAGCCTGGACTTGAACCCGATCTAAAATCTCTGGAGAGAAAATAGCTGTGCAGCGACGCTCCCCATCCAACCTGACAGAGCTTGAGAGAATCTGCAGAGAAGAACGGGAGAAACTCCCCAAATACAGGTGTGCCAAGCTTGTAGCGTCATACCCAAGAAGACCCGAGGCTGTAATCGTTGCCAAAGGTGCTTCAACAAAGTAGTGAGTAAAGGGTCTGAATACTTATGTAAATGTGATATTTCCGTTTTTTGTTAATACATTTCCAAAAACCTTTTCTTGCTTTTTCATTATTGTGTGTAGATTGATGAGGAAAAAAACAATTTAAATCAATTTTCTAAAACAGACTACATGTGCACAACCAAGTCAGAACAGTAGGCTAAGTTATTTTTTATTGTAATTGTTTTATTCAATGTTTATTTAACTAGGCAAGTCAGTTAAGAACTAATTCTTATTTACAATGATGGCCTACCCTGGCCAAACCCTTCCCTAACCCGGACGATGCTGGGCCAATTGTGCGCCGCCCTATGGGACTCCCGATCACGGCCGGGATCGAACCCGGGTCTGTAGTGACGCCTCTAGCACTACGATGCAGTGCCTTAGACCGCTGCGCCACTCGGGGAAAGGGATCAAATTATTAGGGTAAGGCACATGGGCTACTAACAGCTTACTACACGACATACACTTAGTATTACTTTCTTAGCTACAGTATACATAGGCTATCTCCCTGGCATATTTCATAAATACATTTTTGGACTCACAGTTGTGCTGTTCTCACTTGAACAGGAAGGCGTGGCAGTCCTTCTTGTGGGCAAATTTTGTCATGAAACTTTGTCATCAAAGTCTGGCATTCTCTGGATTTATGGTGCTTTCAAAACAACTGGGAACTCTGAAAAAAACAAGGTTGAATCATGACGTCAGTGATCGTCAGGTCGGAGCTCTAGAAAGAAGCCAGAGTTCCCAGTTGTCTTGAACTAACTGAAGTCTGAGATTTCCAGTTGTTTTGAACGTGGCAGAAGTCATGCTGGCTTGACAGCATGGCCAATGTATTCAACCTTTTCTGGCACATGGTGTTGCCTGTGAATGTTTATCCTTTTAAGCTAGGAAAAGAGACCCTTAAACCCAGACTTGGACCACACACCCTCTCCACCGAATAGCAGGCAGGGGAAGTGAAATAGTGATTGCTTTGCAACGCTTGCAGTGAGCCACTGATTCTTTCCAACTTGTTGTGTAATGTTCATGTCCAATGGCCAATGAGCACCGATACGTTTGATCTATAATTTCTCTTCATATGACAAGGCTTGAAAAGGATTTGCAAGTAGATTGTCGACGTGATTCATGATGACTGCTTGTCTAGCTTGCTAGCTAAGATTTTGAAAGTAGGATGTCATGATCAGTCCAATCAAAGCTACTGTACATATAACGTGATTTGACATCATTTTATCTGTGACCAATGACCTTGAGCCTTCTTGGATGGGCACTTCTAATGTAACTCTATGGCAGCACCAAATGGGGCTTGAACTTTCAAGCTCTCCCTGTAGATTTTGCGGTGACGTAGTGTCCCCATGAGACAGAACACTGAGCCAATCACGGCGCAACTAGAGAAGATTACCAACGACTACGCTCTGTATTTTCCGCTGGCTGACCCTTCACCACAGAAAGCACTGAGCTAGGCTGTACTCCCTGTTCACCCATTACTGCATGGCCAGGCACGACTCCAACACCATCATTAAGTTTGCCGACGATACAACAGTGGTAGGCCTGATCACCGACAACGATGAGACAGCCTATAGGGAGGAGGTCAGAGACCTGGCCGTGTGGTGCCAGGATAACAACCTGTCCCTCAACGTGACCAAGACAAAGGAGATGATTGTGGACTACAGGAAAAAAAAAGAGGACTGAGCACGCCCCCATTCTCATCGACGGGGCTGTAGTGGAACAGGTTGAGAGCTTCAAGTTCCTTGGTGTCCACATCACCAACGAACTATCATGGTCCAAACACACCAAGACAGTCGTGAAGAGGGCACGACAAAGCCTATTCCCCCTAGGAGACTGAAAAGATTTGGCATGGGTCCTCAGATCCTCAAAAAATTATACAGCTGCACCATCGAGAGCATCCTGACTGGTTGCATCACCGCCTGGTATGGCAACTGTTCGACCTCCGACCGCAAGGCACTACAGAGGGTAGTGCGTACGGCCCAGTACATCACTGGGGCCAAGCTTCCTGCCATCCAGGACCTCTATAACAGGCGGTGTCAGAGGAAGGCCCTCAAAATTGTCAAAGACTCCAGCCACCCTAGTCATAGACTGTTCTCTCTGCTACCGCACGGCAAGCGGTACCGGAGTGCCAAGTCTAGGTCCAAAAGACATCTCAACAGCTTCTACCCCCAAGCCATAAGACTCCTGAACAGCTAATCATGGCTACCCGGACTATTTGCACTGCCCCCCCACCCCCACCCCATCTTTTTACGCTGCTGCTACTCTGTTAATTATTTATGCATAGTCACTTTAACTCTACCCACATGTACATATTACTTCAACTACCTCAACTAGCCGGTGCCCCCGCACATTGACTCTGCACCGGTACCCCCCTGTATATATAGCCTCCCTACTGTTATTTTATTTTACTTCTGCTCTTTTTTTCTCTCAACACTTTTTTATAGTTGTTTTATTTTTATTTTTTTATTAAAAATAAATGCACTGTTGGTTAAGGGCTGTAAGTAAGCATTTCACTGTAATGTCTGCACCTGTTGTATTCTGCGCATGTGGCCAATAAAATTTGATTTGATTTGAAACACCTGCATTTTGGAGCTGCCTTACTCAAGAAAGCAAAAAAGAGACCATGTTTGTATGCAGCTTTATTAACTAAATAAATCATTTTTTACATTGTTTGCAAACTGATATGTGACATGTATTAATGCCAAAATAACATGCAAAACAGGCAACAACAAAAACAAAAATTCTTTATTTTCTTTAGCTAAACAGGTGGAGCTCAAAACTGGTGTGGCTCTGCCTCACCTGCCCTGAATGACAGGTCGCCACTGAACAAAACAGCCTAATGCATGGCTGTCTACTACTGCCTGCATTTATTCTAGACACAGATTTAGGTGAAGGTAGGCTAATTCGTTTCCCCATACATTGTTTCACTTTCGAGAGGAGCAAAACTTTTCTCTCCCGACACTTATGCCACAACATTTGTACAAAATAAACTCTCTACATTTGTCATTTTATGTTCTAATGATATGTTGCTCGGTAAACATGCCTGGGTGAGAATAAATAGTAATGATGGGAAGTTCGGCTCTTTTCTGAGAGCCGGCTCTTTTGACTCGGCTCCCAAAGAAGAGCCGGCTCTTTCGACTCCCGAACGGCTCTTTATTTAGGATCTTTTGTAGCCTATATTTTACCTTAACTTTGAAAAAAAATCATGGTTTATGTGTTGAAAACCCTTTTGCTTTCAGTGTTTTTATGAGAGACCTTATAATGCCTAATTCTGTGCATTTATTCTGTGACAAAACCACTCTTACATTTGTTTATTTCAATTAAACTTTTTTATTGCACAAATTAACAATAAACTTCAAACAAATCCACAGAACAGAATCAAAACCAGAACCAAACTCCAGCAAACAGCATTAGTCCTCAGGGCAGGTTGGCATTCAGGAAGATCAGATGCCTCAGCTTGGATGGGCTGATAGGCCTGATACGATTTCGCCTCTCCGTGAGTATCTGCCCTGTTTTGGAGAAGATTCTCTCAGAAGGAACTGATGTGGCAACAATACATAGTCTCCCCTCCATCACCTTCACCAGGAGTGGAAAGACTGAGGCCTTGGCCTGCCACCAGCTCAGTGGGTCTTCTGCTCTCTGGATGAGGGGCTCCTCAAGGTAGCTCCTCACCTCCATTATAGCATCAGCTGTCGGATTTCTCCTTGAAGCATCTCCTGTAGCTCTGTCATCAAAAAGCCTCCAAACAGCAGAGGTTTGCTGCTCCTCCTCCACTTGGCCCTGTAATGGTGGAGCTGGCTGGCTGCTGGGGGTGCATTTTGCTGCTGCTGCTGCACTAATCCTCTGAAGAGCTTCATCAACAGCTCTACGATCACTGAAGGCAAGTTTTTTAAACCTTGGATCCAATAAGGTAGTTTCTGAAAGGACAGTGTTGTACTCCATCCGCAGAAATTTGCGGTCCATGGCTGAACAAAGAGCTGCAACTAATTCCTTCACTTTCTGCACAGTTACTGTCCATTGGTTCTCGGCTGTCACCAGCTGCAGACCTTTGCAAAGCAGGAGCATTTTCGAGGCTGTGACATAGCTGAAGGAGAGAAAACAGCAACTTTTAGAATTTAGTTTTTTAAAAGTATGTGGCATATTATACGTGATGCATTATACTGTATGTGTTGTGTTTGCAATGTATAATAGTGACTGAATAGTAGTAGAGAAAACAATGCTTCAATGGTTCTAGGTACCTGTCTGCACTTATCTCCACAGTCACCTCCTGGAATGGTTGCAGGACGGCGCAGACCTCTTTCACCAGCTCCCATTCCTCTTGGCTTAATGGCTCAATAGATGCGTTGATGAGGGCCAGGGTGGAGATGATGGCATCTTTTATTTCAAGCATTCGTTTCAACATATCAAATGTTGAGTTCCACCTGGTGGCACACTCTTGTTTGGGCCTCAGTTCAGGAATCCCCATTTGGCGCTGTGTGGACTTTAGCTTCTGTGCTGCTACTGTGCTTTTGTGGAAAAACTCCACAACAGCCTTCACCTTATCCACGGTTGTTTTGATCACCTTCAGAGCATCTCTAACCACCAGGTTTAGTGTATGCGCCAGACATGGGTGATGGGTCCACTTCAAAACTTTTATGGCTTTGGTGATGTTTGCAGCATTATCACTCACACAGCACACCACTTTGTCCTCTACTTGCCACTCTTTTGCCACTCTTAGTAGCTCCACTGCCAAGTTTTCTGCAGTGTGTCTGTCGGTGAACTCGAAGCAGTCCAGAAGGCAAGATGTCATCTTGTAATCTTCAATAAAGTGGCAAGTGACAGACATGAAAGAGCAGGTTGTTCTGGAGGTCCAGCAGTCAGTTGTCAGGCAAACTGATGGAGCTTTTGTCACCCTTTCTTGCCATAATGCACGTTCTGTGTCATATAGTTTTGGGATCATTGTTTGGGAAAGTGTTTTTCTACTGGGTAGAGTGTATGTGGGATTTAGGGCTTTGACAAAGTTTTTCATTCCTTTGTCCTCCACAATGGAAAAGGGTTGAAAATCAGAAGCTACCATTTTAGCCAACTCATCATCAATACTGTGCTGTTTGGCTGGGGTCATCAGTTTAGGTAAAAACTGACTTATTTTGCTTTGAGTTGCAGTAGGAGAGGTTATACTTGCACGCATGGGGATGGCAGTAGACGTTACAGCAGCTGTTGTTCTGGTATGAGACACACCAGGATCAGTAGATGGTGAGCTGGCTTGCCCTCTCTCCTCTAACTGCACTGTAGGATGGACAGTTCTTGTATGTCTATGCAGGTTTGTGGTGGAACCTGCTCTTATAGTGACCTTCGTTTTGCAGTGAAGGCACTCTGCTTTCTTGTTCCCAATATCTTTAAACTGCAGCCAGATGCTGCTTCGCTTTCTAGTGTCACTCATAGTTAAACGACACGACAATGCAAGACGCACACACGCTCCTCAGTCCGCTCTGTCTCTCTCTTCACTTGCAGTGGAGTCAAGTGGTGTGTCTGCCCCGCCCCCTCTCTGTTTACACATCCTTAATTCTCACGTGAATGCCGCATGCTGGTCGCCATGCTGGCCAATCATAACAGACCTCTGTGAAAGTGAAACCTAAGCAGCGAATGGGCAAAAAACTGGGAGCCGGCTCTCACTCGATGCGAGCCGGCTCTTCTGATTCACTACAAAGAGCCGGCTCTCAGAGCCGATGCTTGTGCGCATGACCCATCACTAATAAATAGACATTGCAAGCAAGCATTGGCTTGGATCACAACATTATGACAGACATCGTCAGCAATGGAATAATTATACGTACAGACAAAGTAGGCCTACTAAACAATGCAAAGTAGACAAACAAAAACAACCATATGGCATCAGCAAAGTCGACAGGAAATAACTAGATTGATTGAACAACAATGACTAGCTACAGATTCTGTGTAGGTGTGTTCTGCACTGGGTGAAAGTTGATTGCATTAGTTTTGGAACGGGGCTGCCTCCCGGCGTGAGCCAGGCGCCCGTTCAAAGCCCACAACGAAGTCCGCCCAAAACAAAATGACGTAAGAGCACGTGGAGTAATTAGTAGGATTCTGTGTTTTCACATGCAAAAGTGATTGCTTTTGAGCTTTATCTGCCTTCCCAATGAAAACGAGTTAGAAGGTTAAAACATTTATTTTACAGAAAAGAGATGTATGTTTCTGGACGATGCACCATGCTACCTTGTTGACAAAATGACAGAGTGGCGCAGATTAGCCTACTCTTCGATTTGAGAAGGGCGCTCCTCCCTCCCCGCTTTCGCCCAATGAAGTAACAGGCCTTTGCCCAATGCCCTGCGGCTCAACATAATCGAAACCACCCACTGTTTGAGTGTAAGAGATGCGTGCTGGCAGCTGAAAATGACCTTTTTCCGGATAATTACAAAAAAATACTTCTGTCATGATCGTATTCGGAAATTTCTCCATATCCGTTAGATACAATCATAAACCCAGATTGTATTCTGTATCCTATGCCTACTGAAATGACAAGTCAATCTCGCAAATGGGCCATTTATAATGATTTGTAGCTTTACATTTTATTTTTATGTTTTTAAATTTAACCTTTATTTAACTAGGCAAGTCAGTTAAGAACAAATTCTTATTTACAATGACGGCCTACACCGGCCAACGCTGGGCCAATTGTGCGCCGCCCTATGGGACTCCCAATCACGGCCGGTCGTGATACAGCCTGTAATCGAACCAGGGTATCTGTAGTGATGCCTCAAGTACTGATATACAGTGCCTTAGACCGCTGCGCCACTCTGGAGCCCATCTGGCACATAATAACAGCACAATTGCCGGAAAATAGCCTAACATTAGTTTAAGTTCATCCAAGTGTTTCTTGCTCAGAGATTGAGATCCTCTGTCCAACTCTCATCACTCAAACTATCCTGTCGGATTTATCTATAGTTATGCAAAGGATTTTATTTACAATTATAAACCTAGTTCAAGCCCTGAATGCTGATTGGCTGAAAGCTGTGGTATATCAGACCATATACCACGGGTATGGCAAAAAAAACATTTAAGTTGGTAACCAGTTTATAATAGCAATAAGGCACCCCGGGGGTTTGTGGTATATGGCCAATATACCACAGCTAACGGCTGTATTCGGGCACTCTGTGTTGCGTCATGCTTAAGAACAGCCCTTAGCCGTGGTATATTAGCAATATACCATACCCCCTTGTGCCTTAATCATAGCAGTCAAACGAGTTAAATAGACATAGTTTAACAGAAAATTATCTGGGGAGTTTAATAAGGGTGTGATTTTTTGAGGGGCCTAGTTTACAGGCCTTTTGGGCGGGTTTATTGGGCTAAAATAATTTGTTTGACCTGGCAACCCTGCGGAGGAGAGGCGAGGAATTTAGCAAAACATTTTTAAATTCTCCCACTGTCAGTATATGGCTCATTTATGTGGTACGCAAAGCCTCTCATATTTTTAGGACTGAAGTTCGACTAAATGTCAAATGAAAATCAAATAGAGAGATAGAGTAACAAATCTGCTAATCTATGCAACTTTATCTCTGGTTTGAAAACCAAATCCAGGAGTCTTCGTAAACGTGCATTCGCCCGTCTCAAACGGCAGATTTCTTCCTGGTGCTCTGCTATCGTTTTTTTAACTAGTGCCACGGATATCTCCAAAGGAACTGCGGTTAATTTTTCGTTGAGAAACACATTAAGCAGCTGTAGTTTATACATTTTGTGGAGAAAATGAATAAGATGGATAAGTTATTGTTGTTTTTGCTGCAAGATTCGCTAGCTACGATCGGACACGGCTGTGAAGCGGAATAATAAATAAGAACTTCCGGGTCACGGATTTTTGGAATCTTTCAGAATAAAAATCCAGTCCTGTATACTTTGTAAATGAATAATTAGGGCGAAAATTGAGAATGTGCACAATTATTGATATATTTCATGCTAGTTATCATACAAAATAATAATTACAAGTATTTCTATAAGATATGTTTTTTATTTGTATATTTTTAATTTGTTCAAGCCTAAATGGTCAACAATGTTATTGTTGTGTGTGTACTCCTATCATTTGTACTCATTTATTGCATCGTACAAAATTTTATGAAAGTTGTGTCGCAGTAAAATGGGGGTCCATTCTACTCAGAAATCCACAAAGTTTACACCCAGAGGAGCGTCGCTGCTCATTTGGTCCATATAGAGTGGCCCATCAACTTAAATCCAATTGTTTATTCAAATTGGACATACATATTGCGCCATACAAAATGATCTGTACGTTACGTTGTGTCGCAGTAAAAGGGGGTCCATTCTATTCAGGAGCATCACTTATTCTACAAACAAACAATACGTTTATTCAAAAGTAAAGAGAGATGCAATTTGGTTTAAAAAAGCATACTTTATTCATAACAAATGACAATGCAGTGAATTAATCAAATACTTTGTGAAATGTATCTTAATCAGGAAAACAGACGTTTCAAATTATATTCAAGATCCTCTTCATCTCATGAGTAGAGTCAGCCCACTGGGCACAAACTGGTTGAATCAACATTGTTTCCACGTCATTCCAAAAAATATATATACAGTATCCGTCAAAGGTTTGGACACACCTACTCATTCAAGGGTTTATCTTTATTTTTTATTATTTTCTACATTGTAGAATAAAAGTTAAAACTTAAACTATGAAATAACACATATGGAATCATGTAGTAACCAAAAAAAGTGTTAAACAAATCAAAATATTTTATATTTGAGATTCTTCAAAGTACCCACCCTTTGCCTTGATGACAGCTTTGCGCATTCTTGGCATTCTCCCAACCAGCTTCATGAGGTAGTCACCTGGAATGTATTTCAGTTAACAGGTGTGCCTTCTTAAAAGTTAATATGTGGAATTTCTTTCCTTCTTAATGCATTTGAGCCAATCAGTTGTGTTGTGACATGGTAGGAGTGGTATACAGAAGATAGCCCTATTTGGTAAAAGACCAAGTCCATATTATGGCAAGAACAGCTCAAATAAGCAAAGAGAAATGACAGTCCATCATTACTTTAAGACATGAAGGTTAGTCAATATGGAAAATTCCAAGAACTTTGAAAGTTTCTTCAAGTGCAGTTGCAAAAACCATCAAGCACTATGATGAAACTGGCTCACATGAGGACCGCCCCAGGAAAGGAAGATCCAGAGTTACCTCTGCTGCAGAGGATAAGTTCATTAGAGTTACCAGCCTCAGAAATTGCAGCCCAAATAAATGCGTCACAGAGTTCAAGTAACAGACACATCAACGTCAACTGTTCAGAGGAGACTGCGTGAATCAGGCCTTCATGATCGAATTGCTGCAAAGAAACCACTACTAAAGGACACCAATAAGAAGAAGAGACTTGCTTGGGCCAAGAAACACGAGCAATGGACATTAGACCAGTGGAAATCTGTCCTTTGGTCTGATGAGTCCAAATTTCAGATTTTTGGTTCCAACCGCCGTGTCTTTGAGAGACGCAGAGTTGGTGAACAGATGATCTCGGTTCCCACCGTGAAGCATGGAGGAGGTGGTGTGATGGTGTTGTGGTGCTTTGCTGGTGACACTGTCTGTGATTTATTTAGAATTCAAGACACACTTAAACAGCATGGCTACCACCACATTCTGCAACGATACGCCATCCCATCTGGTTTGCGCTTAGTGGGACTATCATTTGTTTTTCAACAGGACAATGACCCAACACACCTCCAGGCTGTGTAAGGGCTATATGACCAAGAAGGAGAGTGATGGAGTGCTGCATCAGATGACCTGGCCTCCACAATCAACCAACCTCAACCCAATTGAGATGGTTTGGGATGAGTTGGACCGCAGAGTGAAGGAAAAGCAGCCAACAAGTCCTCAGCATATGTGGGAACTCCTTCAAGACTTTTAGAAAAGCATTCCAGGTGAAGCTGGTTGAGAGAATGCCAAGAGTGTGCAAAGCTGTTATCAAGGCAAAGGGTGACTACTTTGAATCTCAAATATATGTATTTGTTTATCACGTTTTGGTTACTACATGATTTCATAGGTGTTATTTCATAGTTTTGATGTCTTCACTACTATTCTACAATGTAGAAAATAGTAAAAATAAAGAAAAATCCTTGAATGAGTAGGTGTGTCCAAACTTTTGACTGGTACTGTATATGTAATAATTGGGGTGATAACCTGTATCAACATGATTTTACTATGATACTGCCTCAAAAATATATTGGATTTGTCTAGCCAAAACACTTGACCTGATGCACATTTTGGCATGTAAGGCTGGCTGATTTAAATGGATAAAGTCCTCAGCCTTTTCAACATTAGGATAATGTAAGTCATTTACAGGTATGCCAGTCAGTTATCACTCCATTTACTGATCACATTGTTTCCATTGTTTTTGCTAAAGCAGCTAGCTTCTCACCTAATCACCTGCTAATAGTCAGAATTTGTCACCTCAGTTATAGGGCAAAGCCAATAGTGCAAGTCTGGTATAGAATGGAGTTTTATTTCACACAGGAAGCATACAAAGAGTAAGCTAAAATAGCTAATTTAATTGTTTTGTAATTAAGATGTAGTCCTGAATTAGTCAGTCAGCAGAGAGTTAAAGCGACAGTACAAAAGTGCAGACTGGACCCTGGTTTTACAGACACAAACAATCAATTGTTTTTCCTGTACAGTGCTGTATTTGTACCATAGTGTCCAGGGGCCAAACGCAAACCTATTTGACCACAGTAAAAGTCTAGCAACACATCCTATGACCTAGCTTTTTGTTCAAACTCATCTGTTTTGAAGTCTAGGGACTCTAATGAGTAGATTGGACCCTGGTTTTATGGACACACAATCGTTTTTTTTTGCCTGTACAGTGCAATATGTACCATATAGTGTCCAAGCACCCCACATTAAACTGTTTGACCACAGTAGTAGTCTAGTATCATTTCATATGACCTAGCTTTTTGTTCAAACTCATGTTTTCAAATCAAATCAATCAAATCAAACTGTATTTGTCACATACACGTGTTTAGCAGATGTTATAGCGGGTGTAGCGGGTGTAGGGCGACAGGTAGCTTAGTGGTTAAGAGCGTTGTGCCAGTAACCGAAAGGTCGCTGGTTCTAATCCCCGAGCCGACTAGGTGAAAAATCTGTCGATGTGCCCTTGAGCAAGGCACTTAACCCTAATTGCTCCTGTAAGTCGCTCTGGATAAGAGCGTCTGCAAAATGACCAATTTATTTATTTATTTAGCGAAATGCTTGTGCTTCTAGCTCCGACAGTGCAGTAATATCTAACAAGTAATATCTAACAATTTCACAACATATACACAATACACACAAAACTAGTAAGGAATGGGATTTAAGAATATATACATATGGACAAGCAACGACAGAGCGGCATGGACTAAGATACAGTAGAATATTATAGAATAGAATACAGTATATACATATGAGATGAGTAGTGCAAAATATGTAAACATCATTAAAGTGACTAGTGTTCCATTTCTTAAAGTGGCCAGTGATTTCAATAGGCAGCAGCAGCCTCTAATGTGCTAGTGATGGCTATTTAACAGTCTGATGGCCTTGAGATAGAAGCGTTTTTTCATTCTCTCGGTCCCAGCTTTGATGCACCTGTACTGACCTCGCCTTCTGGATGATAGCGGGGTGAACAGGCAGTGGCTCGGGTGGTTGATGTCCTTGATGATCTTTTTGGCCTTCCTGTGACATCGGGTGCTGTATGTGTCTTGGAGGGCGGGTAGTTTGCCCCCAGTAATGCATTCGGCAGACCGCACCACCCTCTGGAGAGCCCTGCGGTTGTGGGCGGTGCAGTTGCTGTACCAGGCGGTGATACAGCCCGACAGGATGCTCTCAATTGTGCATCTGTAAAAGTTTGTGAGGGTTTTAGGTGCTAAGCCGAATTTCTTCAGCCTCCTGAGGTTGAAGAGGCTCTGTTGCGCCTTCTTCACCACACTGTCTGCGTGTGTGGACATTTCAGTTTGTCGGTGATGTGTACGCCAAGGAACTTGAAGCTTTCCACCTTCTCAACTGCGGTCCCGCGGTTTTGTATAGATAATTGTGTACAGTGCAATGTATGAGTCTTTCTATAAGTAATGGGGCCAGTGTGTGACATTGGGATAAACATTTAAAAATGGTTTAAAAAAAAGCAGTTCCACATGTGTACTTAGAGGAATATATGCAAATTGGCCCATAACTCCACCTATACAACAACATAGGCCTAGGACTATACATCCTTTAAGCACTTAACATTTGAATTTTCAAGGACCTCAATGTCATACAATTGTATAATTTATATAATTGTAGATATAGGGCCTAACATGCCTGACAAAATAGATTGGATGCACGCATGTCGATTTTCTGTAGCCTGTGGCAGACACAGGGACAGATAATACATCTGTGAATTAATCTCACCATTGCTGTTTTTATAATGAGAAAGCGACCAAAAACAGGGTCTTTTTTAATGGAAGGATTTGTATGGAAAGCCAAGTTGAAGCCAACATTAGAGGTTGTTATCATCATAATAACCGCAAGTGGTTTTACCGCAACAGAGTAGCACAACACCCTCCAATTGAAGCGACGGGAACCAAACGAAGGTGGCCACATCTCTCACAAAAACAGATCAAAAATGAAATAATGGATAATTATAAGGGAGCAGGAGAACTTGGCTGTAATAATTACTTTTCAAGCACCAAATTGAGGAAATGTTAACATTTTCAAGGTAGGCCCATTCCCAGTGGTGTAAAGTACTTAAGTACAAATACTTTAAAGTACTACTTAAGTCGTTTTTTGGGGTATCTGTACTTTTTGGGGTATCACACACTACTGCCTCCGATCTGGCAGACGCACTAAACACACATGCTTCATTTGTAAATAATGCCTGAGTGTTGGAGTGTAATAAAAAATAATGGTGCCGTCTGCTTTGCTTAAAATAAGGAATTTGAAGTGATTTATACTTTTACTTTTGATACTTAAGTATATTTAAAAACGAAATACTTTGACTTTTACTCAAGTAGTATTTTACTGGGTGACTTTTACTTGTCATTTTTTATTAAGGTATCTTTGCTTTTACTCAAGTATGACAATTGGGTACTTTTCCCACCACTGTCTATTCCAGTACTACTTGAATTTCTGAGCTCCAAATTCAAGTAGTCTACTTCAAGCCCCTTGTATTGTTTAAATTGCAGGTGTAACATGGAAACCAAGATGTATTTGTCATGTTATTTCATTACCAGATCATATTGTGAAGAAGCCTACTAGGCTATGTAAATTGTCATTTTATCCAGAATAATTAATAGGAATAACGTTGGGTTTTGTGCAATAGTCTATCCTACACAATTGCCACAGTAGACTCGGTGTCCAATCCGAGGCACAAAAACATGAACTCATTACCTTGATGCTTTCTCGGTTAAATCTAAGGAGACCTTGCTGTAAATCAAGCAGACGATCTGTAACGTGTACGCTGGGAGTCGGGAAGCAAGTACAGGGAGTGAATTTAATAATAAATGGAACAAAATAAGAAACACGAGTAGCGTACAGACATGAAACACTGAAACAGAATCAATAACGCCTAGTGAAAGAACCAAAGGGAGTGACATATATAGGGGAGGTAATCAGGAAGGTGATTCAGTCCAGGTGTGCTTGATGATGACGTGCAGGTGCGCGTAATGATGAATCCCAGGACCCGTGACCTCGAACGCCGGAGAGGGAGGAGACGTCACAGTACCCCCTCCTGACGCGCGGCTCCAGGCGCATGACGACGCCGACCAGAGGGACGGTCCAGAAGACCAGGGGCGGAACTTCTCCTGAGACCCGGGATCCTGTCGCTTCTGCTGAGGCGCGGAACCTGTCGAGCTTGCTGAGGCATGGGAGCCTGACGAGCCGGCTGAGGCATGGGAGCCTGACGAGCCGGCTGAGGCATGGGAACCGCCGGAGAGGGAGTATACGTTAAATGATCAACATCAATTTGCTAGGGATATTAGATCCAACATGGATCCAGGCACAACTGTCTTCGCCATCTTAATGAATGAGGCAACAATATATTCTGGACATTCCTTGCAAACACCTTTTTCCAGCACAACAGCTGTTCATCACTTGACTGTCATTCTGAAATTCCTTCCTGGATCAGATGATTATGAGTGAAAATATCACAACATAATTAAACAGCTGGACACCAAATGCGCATCCAACAAGTATTATGCATCAGTATTGAAGAACCATGTTAATGACAGTATCAATTTAGGTTTTAAGTATCAATGTAAGGTGACTCATAAATCGCGTAAATTTTTTGGAATTTGTATGCGGATGAAACCGGTTTTAATCCCAGAACGTAAAAAGACATGACATGTTACATAGTTACACTGCATTTCTGAGATCGCTATACAAAAAAACTGTCCGACAGCGAGATCCAGGATTCTTACAGGGTTCGAGTTCAATGTCTAATTTAACTGATTAATGCTTAATATGTGGACAACTTACACTGCCATATATGCAAGGACAGAAAATTATTATTTTAAATTACATGATTTTGGACAAGACACCAACCATGAGAAAGGGCTAAACATATTAAGGGCTAAACAGTTTAAAATACACATTAATTGTGTTGAATATAGCCATGTTCCCCCTTATATCTTAATGTAATGGCATGAAAATTCAAAATTCTAAGTCTGCTAACATTTGCTCATAAAATGTAAAAATTCGACCGTTATTATTATTCACCATCTTCATTGCAGGACTTTTATTCTGAAGGGAAATCGCCAAAGTCACGGCCTTATTATTGTAAGGTCTTGCTTATACTTGCTGATTGAACGGAGGTCGGTCAACACTAAAAAAGTACTTCCGGGTCACATCATTTCGAACATTTTCAAAATAAGTCTCCCACGTTATAGTAGAAAAGTGTCAGCCTGTATTTATTCATGTTATATGAACAATCATTGTCTAAACATTAACAATTATTAATATTTGTTCATATTTAAGTGACATTTGTATTACATTTGGGTTTTAAAACATGTTCCAAGGTCAAATAAAGAATAACACATTTATGTATACATCACATACAAGTATAGCACTGTACAGGGAAAACTATCATTTGTGTGTCTATAAAACCAGGGTCCAGTCTACTCACTAGAGTCCCTAGAATACAAAACAGAGGAGTTTGAACAAAAAGCTAGGTCATAGGAAGTGTTGTTGGTCTTTTGTATTTGTATATATTATGGATCCCCATTAGTTCCTGCCAAGGCAGCAGCTACTCTTCTTGGGGTCCAGCAAAATTAAGGCAGTTATACAATTTTTAAAACATTACAATACATTCATTACAGAATTCACAACTGTGGTCAAACAGCTTAAAGTGGGGCTTAATGAAAACTTTAAGCTTAAAGAAAAGACTTGAGTCATTGCTAGCACAGGGGGTCAATGTTCGAGTGCAGAGGGAGGGGGGGAAATGTGGTCAGAGAAGAGTCCAAAGTGTAAAACTGGACTTGATTAGAGATGACTTAGCCTTCCCCACCTCTCCCTGCCCTAAAGTATTTTCCCACACTCTTGCAAGAGTTGTTTTCACAAATCAGACACAAGATGTGTGTGGCATGCCCTATTCAGGTTATTGATGTCCTGGAATTGTGCAGTGTGTATTGTGTAATATTTTCATGGAAAAACATGAAAATATTACCTTGAATATACAAGCCGAGTCCGCTCTAATGACCATATGCCGTGAAAAAGTATTTGACCCCTTTCAGAATCTCTATTTTTGCATATTTTTTTATACCGAATGTTATCAGATATTCAACCAAAACCTAACATTAGATAAAGAGAACCTGAGTTTACAAATAACAAAACAAATTGATACATTTTATGTATTTAATTAACAAAGTCATGCAATACCCAATTCCCCTGTGTGAAAAAGAAATTGCCCCCTTACACGCAATAACTGATTGTGCCACCTTTAGCTGCAGTGACTGCAACCAAATGCTTCCTGTAGTTGTTGATCAGGCTCTCAAGTCGCTGTGGTGGAGTTTTGGGCCTCTCTTGCATGCAGAACTGCTTTAACTCAGTGACGTGTGGGTTTTCAAGCATGAACTGCTCGGTTCAAGTCCTGCCACATCTCATTTGGGATTAGGTCTGGACTTTGACTAGGCCATTCCAAAACTTCAAATTCGTTGCTTTTTAGCCATTTTCACGTAGACTTGATTGTCTGTTTTGGATCATTGTCTTGCTGCATGACCCAGTTGCGCTTCAGCTTCAGCTCACAGACGGATGGTCTGACATTCTCCTGTAGAATTCTCTGATACAGAGCAGAATTCATGGTTCCTTCTATTAAGGCAAGTTGTCCAGGTCCTGAGGCAGCAAAGCATCCCCAAATCATTTCACTACCGTCCAAAAAGTTATACTTTTGAATCATCTGTCCATAGAACATTCTTCCAAGAGTCTTGATGATCATCCAGGTGCTTCCAGGTGCTTTTTGGCAAACTCAAGTCAACATTTTGGATGACATGGGTCCCATTATGCCTGGCGAAAACCAAACACTGCATTCCACAGTAAGAACCCCATACCAACGGTCAAGCATGGTGGTGGTAGTGTGATGGTTTGGGGATGCTTTGCTGCCTCAGGACCTGGACAACGTTGATGCTCTGCAAAGTAACTGGCATCTAGTGAACAAGACAATATACTGAAAACTAATACTGCACACAGCATATTTTGATTATGTGAGATGCACCACAGCCATTTATTTTTAATGAAAAGTATTAATTCCAGTCTTGGAAAATTAAACATTGAAACACATTGTTTTGCTGATTGAATACAAAACAAATTATACAGCAAGTGTATAATTGTGTACACACAAATTAATGCACTGTACATCTTAAATTCCTTGTCACTTTGTGATACAAATATTCAAATATAATGTGCAGAAAAATAACAACATAAATATTTCCACTTTACAAAAATAAATACATGTTTCCAAACGTAATCGTTTGCTACGTTAGCTAGCTACAGTATATTTTAATGATAATAATACTTAAGTAGGCCTAATGAATTATTAACTTAAGTTAATATTGTGTTTTTTAGTCAGTAATCAAAAGTACAACATATACATTTGCTGTGGTGTTTCATGTAGTTTCTTCTTCTTCATAACCAACGCAGCATTGGGAACATTAGTGCTTATGGTAAACATACTTCTGAAATGTGCCTGCATTCTATCATGCAGAAACAACTGTGTGAAAGGTACTAATTCAGTATTTTGGCTTATTAGAGGCACGTGTGAATTACAACAGGCAGGACCCATCCACATTCAAGGGAAATAACACCACTCAACAAAACAAAAATATGATTACGGCCAATGACTCCACGGCTTTATCACAACAGGCTCAACCACTGTATTCCTCAGTCTGTAGAGAAACATACTTTGCCTCCTCTCTTGATATTCTTACTGCAGATTTGGAATGATATGCTCAGCTGCCCACATGGTTTCAGTCTATTGTGGAGACAGGCAGCCCAATTCTGATCTTTTGCCCAATTATTGGCAAAATATTTGATCTGATTGGTCAATAGTGAGAAAAAAAAACATCAGAATTGGGCTGCCTGTCTAAATGCAGCCTTAGTGTCATAGAAGTGTCACAGATATAACATCTAAAATCTCATGTTACACAAAAGGACGATACCTTGTAGAATATAAATGCTTGACACCTGATAACAGTCACACAAGCTCAGAGGTTTCCTGGTAGTTTGAGCTGCAGGGAGGTGGGGATTGAGTTAAAGCTGCGGATGGGGCTGAAAGGGTGCATCTCACGTGGCATTTGAGGAGCAGCGTTGGAGGAGAAGGGCGTGGCACGTATCACAGACCCTCACTGGTTTTGGCGAGGCAGGGAGGGGCAGCTCGTTGTCAGAGCAGGCATTGCAGAAGATCTCCCCACAGTTTCTACAGTGGTGCTAGAGAAATGAGACGCATGGAAAACACAAAATCAGCTCATCTAGGCAAGAAGTACACCGCAAGGAAAATATGTGGGTTATGGTTTGCATAGTTGCCATTCTTATCGTAAAACTATGTCACATCTTTTTTGTGTTGCATGCTGGTTCAGCACTGTCCCAATTAATTTCACACAAAAAATGTAACGAGTTTATCCTAACCTTTCTCCGAGAGATGGAGAACTCCTTCTCACACAGTTTACAGATGTTAGCTTCTTTGTCCTTCAGCCAGATCTGCCCCCCCTGGAATATTTCATTGTTAGATAGGCGACTCATGGAACAGCACTGGCCAAGGTCAACATGCGTGTTAGTAGTTCAGTTGTTGTCATAAGAACAAAATGGACTGAACTTTCATTTGGATAACGATGTAGAATTCGAGAGACACTTACCTGAAGAGCTTTATTTGCCTCTTTTATGTCTTCGATTTTAAGTTTTGATCTGTGTTAAGAATAAGACAAGGCAAGCATCAGTTTAAAGAGTTCATGTCTCTCTATTCTTTCATGCAAAATTCCTACCTGGAACTTTGCAACAGTATGTGCACAAACTAAGGCCAAGAGGCATGTAAAGGGATAATGGATGGGGTTATAGTCCCTCCTCCACAACATAAAAGCTTGTTCCACTCCTTTCTTAAAAAGGTACGTTGAGATGTCTCTAACTGATGGGGGTAAGAGGCTGCATTCCTATTTGAAAGATAGACAGTGTTAAATAAAAACATACATCAAATGAGGAGTTTAAAATAGACAAGTACTCGCTAAGTTTGCAGCCCAGCTCCTCCAGGGCCTGCTCCTGTTCGTCACATATCCCCGTCAGCTGGCTGTTCTCATCCTGCAGCTTGTGGAACTCCTGGAGAAAAACATGTCAAATACATCAGTCCACTGTGTGTGTAAATATACTCTATCCCTGTGACACAACGAAAATATGTTGAACTTGAACATAATACTTTTTAAATGCCACAATGTCACAAAAAGCCCCACGAGGAACCCTCACAAACATTTTTAAGTCCATTTATTTGCTGGGCTTCAGCACTGAGCTGGGCGACGTTCCCACGTTCCCTCTCCAGGTCGTTTTGTAAGGTCTGCTGCCACTCCTTCTCAATCTTTAGGTCGGTCTCCAGCTGCAACCTACAACAGGAACAACATCCCGGATTACAGCCAGATTATTGTGTTTTAGAACTCTATTCAATCTTCAAGCGTTACAGATAGCGTGCCAGGAATGTAAAGGTAATTTCAGACTGAGCCGACATACGCAGCGTTTACCGCGAATGCAGTCTCCGCTAACACGTGAACATCGCCTTTAAATTTCAAATCACGCTGTAATGCTGAATTTCCACGATATGGAATGAATAGAGCCCCAAATCTTCATATTACATAGAAGGAAGAAGTACTAAGAGCTGCTATGAATATACCGTATGCATGTGTACTTACCTCTGGTTCTCTCTCTGGGCTATCTGCTTTTGGAGGCTGTCGGCTTTGTTGGCAAAGTCCTGCTTGAATTTGCGCGCTCCATCTTCTGCGGTCCAGCAGTCCCGATCAGCCTCCTGTAATCTGGTGTAATTCAAACCAACTGGGTAAAACTGAGGCTCCAATCACAAGGAAAATGGGTGCAGGTGGTTGGGATGCAATGGGACAAACTGTCAAAAGAAAAGGGGGAGGCCAAACATCTACAGGCAGACCCTTCTGAAGAGAAGATGGCCAGACAGTGGCAGGACAGTTCGTTACATTTCTATGGAAACACTCAGGGAGCTGATCTAACGCTGGCAATTATTTGAAAAGATTAATTCCAAGTCCACAATTTCAAAACATCTAACTTTATTGTTTCATGTGATAAAATACAATTATTATACTTTTTATTGGCTATAATGAGTAGAGTATTTGCTCTTACAGATATGTTTAAGTGTATTAGTTATTACAGTACCACAATAATGGGATGCACTACAAAACTTCCTTTTGTGAAAGAAGCTCGTCTTAACATTAGACTGATTCAAAAACCAACAAACTAACTTTTCAAGAACAGTCAACCCATTACTTTACGATACTGCATATGAACAAATCCCCTGCCTAGTGTTTGCTGAGAGTTAGTGGTTGTGTTTGAATGCTCAGAAAGAGATGTCTTTAACAAGCTTGTATTGGTGCTCAGTGTCTGCGCTGGCACATTTGACAAATGACATGGCGAGCGTTCGCGTCTGGCTTAGCAAATCTTTATCACTATCGAGGCCAAGTAGACAAAACAGGAGGTGTATCGATGTCGAAATAAGTATGAAATTAAACGTATGAGGGTAAAAGATCGATGTCGAAATAAGTATGAAATTAAACGTATGAGGGTAAAAGATCAATGTAGAAATAAGTATGAAATTAAACATATGAGGATAAAAGATTGTTGTAGAAATATGTATGAAATTAAACGTATGAGGGTAAAAGTACGATGTAGAAATAAGTATGAAATTAAAACGTATGAGGGTAAAAGATCGATGTAGAAATAAGTATGAAATTAAAGGTATGAGGGTAAAAGATCGATGTAGAAATAAGTATGAAATTAAACGTATGAGGGTAAAAGATCGATGTAGAAATAAGTATGAAATTAAACGTATGAGGGTAAAAGATCGATGTAGAAATAAGTATGAAATTAAACGTATGAGGGTAAAAGATGAAAGCAATAAAAGACAAAGAAAAGAACAAGAGAAAGAGGATGTCAATATCAGGGAACTTCCATTTGACCAAAATAAATAAGAAATTGTTAAACAAAGTATTCTCATAGAAATATCACAACGAAGATGGCGTTAAACGACTGGAAGAGAAGGGAAGGGATGGTCCATGTTGACTGAGACATGACAGAGCTGTGATCGCATCACACAACTAGACTACAGCCAAGTCAATGCTCCAAAAGGGATTTGCAATATGGTAAAACGTACATTCATAATAATACACCTACATGCAAAAAGAGAAAATACTTTGCATGCCACATTATGGGCCGGTTTCCTGCATACAGATTAAGCCTAGTCCTGGACTATAAATCTCCACTGAAATTACTTTTTTATGTCCAGGGAAAAGTTTACTCTGTGTCCAGGAAACCGGGCCTTCACTTCAAATGACTTAAGAGGATCTTTAAGTCAACTCCCTTACCTTTGCTCCAGCTGTTTCATGGTTGCTGTGATTTGATTGGTCTTCTCCTCCAAACGAGTGATCATGTCGTTCTTCTGTTTCATGCCGTCATCGGAAGTCTGGTCGACAACACAGCAAAGCCATCAGATCAGTATAGTCACTGGAACACAACCTGATATGTAACAAACAACATAGCCTACTCCATGCACAAAATCACCAGCAAAATGTGCCACACAAAAAGCTCCACGGCACCTGTATTTTTGTGTACATTTCCACGTTGATGGCCTTGACATCGTCCAGCTGGTGGCGCAAGCCGATCAGTGTGTCCTGCTTCTCGTGGATGTCCTTCTCCAACAGTTTCATGGCCAGATCCATCTCCTGCTTCATGCTCACCTGCACCACCAACTCATTCTCCACATCCTAAAGTGGTGGACAAGGAGAACAGCTGTCCGTCAACCCAAATCCTGCTCAACTGTAAAGCACTGACCTTCCTCACACAGACAATGCTACTGACTGCTCCTTACAACCCAAGATTACCATTTCAGAATTCTGCGTTGGCTTATGTTGGCAGTTTCCTCTATTGTATAGGTGAGATAGTCTCCCCTTTCTAAAGTAGCTGTTTCCTCTGCCTCGAAAAAAAAAACCTTTGGGTTCAATGGGTTTCAACTGAAAATTTTACATTTTACATTTTTAGTCATTTAGCAGACACTCTTATCCAGAGCGACTTACTGAGTGCATTCATTATTTTTTATTTATGTTTTTTTTATTTTATTTTTTTACTGGCCCACCGTGGGAATCGAACCCACAACCCTGCCGTTGCAAACGCCATGCTCTACCAACTGACCTGGCGTAGTTGACACTCCTCCCTGAGTTGTCTCCTGGCCTCGTTGTACATCTCGTCCAGGCCCTGCCTCGACTTCTTATAGGTGTCCAGCTCCACGTCGACGTCCACCTGGGTCACCTGACAGATAGCGACACATCAACAGAGGAGACATTAATGGATTAGACCACACCCACATTTCCTAATACCTCAAAACACTACAAATGAGGAACACGGTTTTAAGTCTGACTGACCCAGACAGCGAACAGGACCTTATAAAAGGCATACCTCAAGTTGCTGCTGAGCATTCATGAGAATAATAGTGTTCTCATTTCTAAGCTGATGATTCTCCTCTTGTAGTTTGATTATGTTGTTCTTTGCAATCGCCAGCTACAATGAAAAGAGGTTAAAATGAAAATCAGATGTATAAAACGATAAATGATTCAGAATGTTAGAACAGAACTAATAAGAGACTTTGCCATACCTCCTCAATGAGTTTAGAGTTTGATTTCTCCAAGTTATCGACCCTCCCTTGTAAGCCGTGTACTGAAGAACTGTGCCAAAGATACAAGTGCTAATTTAGCACCATTCCACATTTAGTCTCTCCCAACAGATGTTTGAAGAAGCACACTGCTTCAAGTAAGTCTATCGCATGTTCAAAACAGCCTTAAACGTCCTCACAAAAGAACATGAGTTAACGTCCTCACAAAACACAAGTACTTTCATTGTCTTTTATAATTCAATTTCCTGCTGTTGAACTAGTGAGCTTGAGTTCTGTAGAGGTTGTGCGATGACCGTAAGAGGATAGAACAGAAGAGACATCTTTGTCCATCTGTAACCAGTGTCAACAACTTGACCTGAATTAGAGCCTCATCAGCTAAAAAAACACGCTAAACGATTATCACACACACAAAAAAAAATCACAACGATACAGTATGGTAAAGAAAAAAGCTAAAGATATACTTACTTAAGCTGTCTGTTTAATTCTTCAACGTAGTTCTTCTGGTCCAGGATGGCTGCTATTTGACCATTTCTATTGAGAAAACAAATCATGGAAAATAAATCAGTAAATGAGAACATTTATGTTCAAAACTTTCAAGTATTTTGATATACTTGTGTCTTTCTCAGCGTATCCAAGACAATGTCTAGTAGTAGATGTGTTTTAATGGATATATTACATCTCGTTAAAGTAACGAGAGTATCTACTTTACCTTTCTTCACTTCTGTAGTCATCAATGTCATTTTTCAAGTACATGGAGAAGTCAATGACCCCAACCTAAGAAATATAAAAATGTCACACACCAGTATGTTCAACTTTGACCAGTATATTCCTTCTCAAATTGGGTTGAGAGGATTGGAGTATAAATGTGCGCTTAAACACAGCTGAACAGTTCAGATGATACTAATTTGTTTGCACTGTAACAGTTGTAGATACTAGTTTGATTCGTTTGTTGGGATGAGACGAGTAATCTCCACGAGGTGAAAGGAACGCTGATCCTGTGTCCGCGGGTAGGACCCTGAATAACACTGAGGTGTCCTCTCACTTGCCTATTTTAAAGGTTGTTATTGGGAGTTTTAGAACAATGACTGAAGTAAGGTGAGGGGGGGGGGGGGGGGGGGTTGACTCTCACCTGTGTATCCAGGTCTTCTCCCTTGACACACAGGTTGGCATCGATCACATTGAGTCCCACCAGCAGGCCAACGATGACAGCACCCTCCTCCTCTACCATCACAGCAGAATTCTCATAGAAATCACTGTGGGTGCAAAACACACAGAGAAACATATTTCACATCAAATCATCAACACACATACAATGTTTACAAATTAATAACAATTAAATAACTAAAATATAGTCGTTACATAGGTATTCACCCCCAATGTTTAGGCAAGCCTAAATTAGTTCAGGAGTCAAATTTGGCTTAAAAAATCATAATAAGTTGCATGGACTCACTCTGTGTGAAATAATAGTGGTTGACATGATTTTTGAATGACTACCTCTTCCTCTGTCCGTCATACATACAACATCTGTAAGGTCCCTCATTCAAGTAATTAATTTCAAACACAGATTCAACTACAAAGAAAAGGGAGCTTTTCGAACGCCTCATAAAGAAGGGCAGTGATTGGTAGATGGTTAACAATAACAAATCAGATATTGAATATCTCTTTAAGTATGGTCAAGTTAATAATTATGCTGTGGATGATGTATTAAACCACCCAGACACATCAAAGATGCAGTCATCCTTCTGAACTGAGCTGCAGGACAGGAAGGAAACTGCTCAGGGATGTCACCATGAGGCCATTGGTGATTTTAAAATAGCTAGAGTTCAATGGCTGTGATGGGAGAAAACTGAGGATGGATCAACAACATTGTAGTTACTCCACAATCCTAACCTAACAAATATACAGAATATTCCAAAACATACATCCTGTATGCAACAAGTCACTAAAGTAATACTGCAAAAAAACATGGCAAAGGAATACACTTTTTGGCCTAAATGCAAAGCGTTTGGGGCAGATCCAACACAACACAACACAAGAGTAACTGCCTCCTTATTTTCAAGCATGGTGGTGGCTGCATCATGTATGCACTCACTAACTGTAGGTCGCTCTGGATAAGAGCCTCTGCTAAATGACTAAAATGTAAATGTAAATGGTGGCTGCATCATGGTATGGCCCTCCTGTAGCTCAGTTGATAGAGCATGGCGCTTGCAACGCCAGGGTTGTGGGTTTGATTCCCACGGGGGGCCAGTATGAAAAATGTATGCACTCGCTAACTAAGTCGCTCTGGATAAGAGCGTCTGCTAAATGACTAAAATGAAGAAAAAAAAAATATGGGTATGCTTGACATCAGCAAAGACTGGGGAGTTTTTCAGGATACAAATAAATGGGATGGAGTTAGCACAGGCAAAATACTAGACAAAAACCTGGTTCAGTCTTCAGAGACTGGGAGAATAATTCACCTTTCAGCAGGACAATAAGGCCAAATCTACAGTCGTGGTCAAAAGTTTTGAGAATGACACAAATACTAATTTTCACAAAGTCTGCTGCCTCAGTTTTGATGATGGCAATTTGCATATACTCCAGAATGTCATGAAGAGTGATCAGATGAATTGCAAAGTCCCTATTTGCCATGAAAATGAACTTAATCCCCCAAAAACATTTCCACTGCATTTCAGCCCTGCCACAAAAGGACCAGCTGCCATCATGTCAGTGATTCTCTCGTTAACACAGGTGAGAGTGTTGACGAGGACAAGGCTGGAGATCACTCTGTCATGCTGATTGAGTTAGAATAACAGACTGGAAGCTTTAAAAGGAGGGTGGTGCTTGAAAACATTGTTCTTCCTGTTATCCATGGTTACCTGCAAGGAAACACGTGCCATCATCATTGCTTTGCACAAAAAGGGCTTCACAGGCAAGGATATTGCTGCTAGTAAGATTGCACCTAAATCAACCATTTATCGGATCATCAAGAACTTCAAGGAGAGAGGTTCAATTGTTGTGAAGATGGCGTCAGGGCACCCAAGAAAGTCCAGCAAACGCCAGGACCGTCTCCTAAAGTTGATTCAGCTGCGGGATCGTGGCACCACCAGTGCAGAGCTTGCTCAGGAATGGCAGCAGGCAGGTGTGAGTGCATCTGCACGCACAGTGAGGCGAAGACTTTTGGAGGATGGCCTGGTGTCAAGAAGGGCAGCAAAGAAGCCACTTCTCTCCAGGAAAAACATCAGGGACAGACTGATATTCTGCAAAAGGTACAGGGATTGGACTGCTGAGGACTGGGGTAAAGTCATTTTCTCTGATGAATCCCCTTTCCGATTGTTTGGGGCATCCGGAAAACACCTTGTCCGGAGAAGACAAGGTGAGCGCTACTATCAGTCCTGTGTCATGCCAACAGTAAAGCATCCTGAGACCATTCATGTGTGGGGTTGCTTCTCAGCCAAGGGAGTGGACTCACTCACAATTTTGCCTAAGAACACAGCCATGAATAAAGAATGGTACCAACACATCCTCCGAGAGCAACTTCTCCCAACCATTCAAGAACTGTTTGGTGACGACCAATGCCTTTTCCAGCATGATGGAGCACCTTGCCATAAGGCAAAAGTGATAAGTGGCTCGGGGAACAAAACATCAACATTTTGGGTCCATGGACAGGTAACTCCCCAGACCTTAATCCCATTGAGAATTTGTGGTCGATCCTCAAGAGGCGGGTGGACAAACAAAAACCCACAAATTCTGACAAACTCCAAGCATTGATTATGCAAGAATGGGCTGCCATCAGTCAGGATGTGGCCCAGAAGTTAATTGACAGCATGTCAGGGCAGATTGCAGAGGTCTTGAAAAAGAAGGGTCAACACTGCAAATATTGACTCTTTGCATAAACTTAATGTAATTGTCAATAAAAGCCTTTGACACTTATGGAATGCTTGTAATTATACTTCAGTATACCATAGTAACATCTGACAAAAATATCTCATAACACTGAAGCAGCGAACTTTGTGAAGACCAATACTTGTGTCATTCTCAAAACTTTTGACCACGACTGTACACAAGTTGCTTACCAAGAAGACAGTGAATGTTCATGAGTGGCCAAGTTACAGTTTTGACTAAAATCTGCTTGAAAATATATGACAAGACTTGAAAATTGCTGTCTAGCAATGATCACCAACACCTTGATAGAGCTTGAACAATTTTGAAAAGAATAAATGGGCAAATGTTGCACAATCCAGGTGTGCAAAGCTCTTAGAGACTTACCTAATAAGACTCACAGCTGTAATCACTGCCAAAGGTGTTTCTAACATGTATTGACTCAGGGGGGTGAATACTTATCTAATCAAGGTATATTCGTTTTATTTTTCATTACTCTTAATTTAGTTGTTGTTGAATTTTTCTTTCACTTTGACAGAGTGTTTTGTGTAGATCATTGACAAAATGTTAATTAAATCCCAATTTGGTAACAATACAATTTGAAGATTCAAGGGGGGTGAATACTTATGATAGGCATTATCGGACAAGGACTTTGAATGGAGGTGAAGATGTGTGTGAGAAAACCAGTATTGTTTGAGTGAGTTGAGACTGGGGGTCCTTCCAGTACCTCAGCAGGTCCTTTCTGGTAATCAGAAGGTGGAGGTAATCAGCCAGCCTCTTCTGCATCAGGGCCAGACGTAGCCAGGCCCGAGCTCTGCCCAGCGGAGTCCTACAACAACAGAACAAAAACTACAGCCATTAGGCCAACAACACATATTTATATATGATATTACTTTTTACATTCAAAGTGAAGAGCGGCCCATTGGAAGGGGGGCAATACTAACTAGTGAATGAGTCATATGAAACCATCCAAACACTGTGTACTGTATGTGTGTTGACATTAGATGTGGCGTGGATGATTTATGATCGACATGCAAGTTGTTTCCATAATATTTAACAGCCCGGCTGAGTCATCAACTTTAAAGCACACAAGAGGAAAATGTGTCTGCTTGCTTTCCAAGGTTATAGAACATATAGTGGCAAAGTATTCAGACCCTTCCCTTTTTCCACATTGTTACGTTACAGCCTTATTCTAAAATGGATTTAATACAAATGTTCCTCACCAATCTACACACAATACCCTATTATGACAAAGCAAAAACAGGGTTTAAATTTTTTTGGCAAAAAATAACAAAGAAACAGAAATACCTTATTTACATAAGTATTCAGACCTTTGCTATGAGACTCGAAATTGAGCTCAGGTGCATCCTGTTTCCATTGATCATCCTTGAGATGTTTCTACAACTTGATTGGAGTCCACCTGTGGTAAATTCAATTGATTGGACATGATTTGGAAAGGGCACAGACCTGTCTATATAAGGTCCCACAGTTGACAGTCCATGTCAGAGCAAAAAACAAGCCATGAGGTCGAAGGAATTGTCCATAGAGCTCCGAGACGGGATTGTGTCGAGGCACAGATCTGGGGAAGGGTACCAAAAAATTTCTGCAACATTGAAGGTCCCCAAGAACACAGTGGCCTCCATCATTCTTAAATGGAAGAAGTTTGGAACCACCAAGACTCATCCTAGAGCTGGCCGCCCAGCCAAACTGAGCAATCAGGGGAGAAGGGCCTTGGTCAGGGAGGTGACCAAGAACCCAATAGTCACTCTGACAGAGCTCCAGAGTTCCTCTGTGGAGATGGGAGAACCTTCCAGAAGGACAACCATCTCTGCAGCACTCCACCAATCAGGCCTTTATGGTAAAGTGGCCAGACGGAAGCCACTCCTCAGTAAAAGGCACATGACAGCCCGCTTGGAGTTTGCCAAAAGGCACCTAAAGGACTCTCAGACCACGAGAAACAAGATTCTCTGGTCTGATGAAGCCAAGATTTAACACTTTGGCCTGAATGCCAAGCGTCACGTCTGGAGGAAACCTGGCACCATCCCTACGGTGAAGCATGGTGGTGGTGGCAGCATCATGCTGTGGGGATGTTTTTCAGCAGCAGGAACTGGGAGACTAGTCAGGATCGAGGGAAAGATGAACGGAGCAAAGTACAGAGAGATCCTTGACGAAAACCTGCTCCAGAGCGCTCAGGACCTCAGTCTGGGGAGAAGGTTCACCTTCCAACAGGACAACAACCCTAAGCACACAGCCAAGACAACGCAGGAGTGGCTTCGGGACAAGTCTCTGAATGTCATTGAGTGGCCCAGCCAGAGCCTGGACTTAAACCCGATCTAACATCTCTGGAGACCTGAAAATAGCTGTGCAGCGACACTCCCCATCCAACCTGACAGAGCTTGAGAGGATCTGCAGAGAAGAATGGGAGAAACTCCCCAAATACAGGTGTGCCAAGCTTGTAGCGTCATACCCAAGAAGACTCAAGGCTGTAATCGCTGTCAAAGGTGCTTCAACAAAGTACTGAGTAAAGGGTCTGAATCCTTATGTAAATGTAATATTTCATTATTAATTGCCCTCGCTAGAAGCCTGTGTTTCAGACATAAGGAAGTGGATGGCTGAAAACTTTTTACTTTTAAACTCGGACAAAACAGAGATGCTTGTTCTAGGTCCCAAGAAACAAAGAGATCTTCTGTTAAATCTGACAATTCATCTTGATGGTTGTAAAGTCGTCTCAAATAAAACTGTGAAGGACCTAGGCGTTACTCTTGACCCTGATCTCTCTTTTGACGAACATATCAAGACTGTTTCAAGGACAGCTTTTTTCCATCTACGTAACATTGCAAAAATCAGAAATGTTCTGTCCAAAAATGATGCAGAAAAATTGATCCATGCATTTGTTACTTCTAGATTGGACTACTGCAATGCTCTATTTTCCGGCTACCCGGATAAAGCACTAAATAAACTTCAGTTAGTGCTAAATACGGCTGCTAGAATCCTGACTAGAACCAAGAAATTTGATCATATTACTCCAGTGCTAGCTTCCCTACACTGGCTTCCTGTTAAGGCAAGGGCTGATTTCAAGGTTTTACTGTTAACCTATAAAGCGTTACATGGGCTTGCTCCTACCTATCTTTCCGAGTTGGTCCTGCCGTACATACCAATACGTACGCTACGGTCACAAGACGCAGGCCTCCTAATTGTCCCTAGAATTTCTAAGCAAACAGCGGGAGGCAGGGCTTTCTCCTATAGATCTCCATTTTTATGGAACAGTCTGCCTACCCATGTGAGAGACGCAGACTCGGTCTCAACCTTTAAGTCTTTACTGAAGACTTATCTCTTCAGTAGGTCATATGATTGAGTGTAGTCTGGCCCAGGAGTGTGAAGGTGAACGGAAAGGCTGGAGCAACGAACAGCCCTTGCTGTCTCTGCCAGGCCGGTTCCCCTCTCCACTGGGGTTCTCTGCCTCTAACCCTGTTGCAGGGGCTGAGTCACTGGCTTGCTGGTGCTCTTTCATGCCGTCCCTGGGAGGGGTGCGTCACTTGAGTGGGTTGAGTTACTGACGTGATCTTCCTGTCTGGGTTGGCGCCCCCCCCCTTGGTTTGTGCTGTGGTGGAGACCTCTGTGGGCTATACTCGGCCTTGTCTCAGGATTGTAAGTTGGTGGTTGGGGATATCCCTCTAGTGGTGCGGGGGCTGTGCTTTGGCGGAGTGGGTGGGGTTATATCCTTCCTGTTTGGCCCTGTCCGGGGGTTTCTTCGGATGGGGCCACAGTGTCTCCGGACCGCTCCTGTCTCAGCCTCCAGTATTTATGCTGCAGTAGTTTATGTGTCGGGGGGCTGGGGTTAGTTGGTTATACCTGGAGTACTTCTCCTGTCTTATCCAGTGTCCTGTGTGAATTTAAGTATGCTCTCTCTAATTCTCTCGTTCTCTCTTTCTCTCTGAGAACCTGAGCCCTAGGACCATACGTCAGGACTACCGGGCATGATGACACCTTGCTGTCCCCAGTCCGCCTGGCCTTGCTGCTATTCCAGTTTCAACTGTTCTGCCTGCGGCTACGAAACCCCTACCTGTCCCAGACCTGCTGTTTTCAACTCTAAATGATCGGCTATGAAAAGCCAACTGAGAGACCTGAGCCCTAGGACCATACGTCGGGACTACCGGCCGTGGTGACTCCTTGCTGTCCCCAGTCCGCCTGGCCTTGCTGCTATTCCAGTTTAAACTGTTCTGCCTGCGGTTATGGAACCCCTACCTGTCCCAGACCTGCTGTTTTAAACTCTAATGATCGGCTATGAAAAGCCAACTGAGATTTATTCCTGATTATTATTTGACCATGCTTGTCACTTATGAACATTTTTGAACATCTTGGCATGGTTCTGTTATAATCTCCACCCGGCACAGCCAGAAGAGGACTGGCCACCCCTCATAGCCTGGTTCCTCTCTAGGTTTCTTCCTAGGTTTTGCCTTTCTAGGGAGTTTTTCCTAGCCACCGTGCTTCTACACCTGCATTACTAGCTGTTTGGGGTTTTAGGCTGGGTTTCTGTACAGCACTTCGAGATATTAGCTGATGTAAGAAGGGCTATATAAAATAAAATTGATTGATTGATTGATTGATTATTATTTATTTATTTATTTTAATTTGCCCAAAAAAATGAAAACCTGTTTTTGCTTTGTCATTATTGTGTGTAGATTGATGAGGAAAAAAAGCAATTTAATCAATTTTAGAATAAGGCTGTAACGTAACAAAATGTGGAAAAAGCCAAAGGTCTGAAGACTTTCCGACTGCACTGTATGTCTTTCCCTTTATTTTATATTTCCTTTACAATCTGGGCTTAAATTCTGCTTCACCAGAGTTTCAGTCTTTAAACAAAACATGAAGCGAAAGTACAAAAATACATTGAGGCACTTCCTTGTTCTATAGCTCGAGTTTCTCTTTAGCATATCAGTAAACACAGGGATCCACTTAGGCCTAGTGCTTTTAAACGTTTAGTCCACTTTCTGCTTCAGTTAACCGTAGTGGTCATTAGGGCCTACAAATAAATAAATAAAACAACGTGAACGCGCGGTTCATAAAATAGAAATGTCTGGAAAGAAAATACAATGTTCTGATGAGCTCAAATGGGTAAACCCCTTAGTTAACCGAAAAATGTATCACTGGGGTTACCAAAACATGACAAACAAAAGCCAACGTGTTTGGGCATGGTGTCAGCCTGTTACAGGGCGTAAACATGAAGGCTGACACCATGACGAAATGCGTTGGCCTGTTTGTCATGTTTTTAACTATTTCTAACTAAATGCCAAGAAAATAAAAGGCTTTTTAAGGCTCGATTTAATCCGTAGTGCTGAAGATCAGCTTTGTTGCGCGATTTACATTTAAAGCCAATGCTCCCTCATTAGCGGAGACTGCATTCAAGATAAATGCTACATATGTCGGCTCAATTGGAAATTACCTTAAAATTTCAAGCGTGCTATAGCGCTGAACTTCGGCGATTCGGATTGAATCAAGCCCTAATCAAGAAGTGAATCCCTCTGTTTTTTCTACATCTAAATGTCTGCTACAGTCATCTCTCTCTCTCTCTCTTCTGGTACCATACTTTAGTCCTGGTAGGTCCCTGACGCTGGCTGCGATCTCTCCTGCCTCGGGACACAACTTCTCCACCATCTCCAGAGGACCCCATAAGGACTTGTTGTACCCAAGAAATGACTTCTTCACTGGGGGTGCAAAAACAAACATTGAGCCTTATCTCATGGGTAATGTTACACAACACAGTCGAGAAATTATGTTGTTGTATCTTTTAACTATCAAGAAATTAATGGGAAAGGGGACATTATAGCATATTTGTATATTCCAGCACGTCCTGCCAACAGCGGGCATTGAGGATGATGCAGTATGTGTTCACTATGTAATGATTAATGAACATAACAAATCATTATGTAATAAAAATTTGTCGATGCGCTGACAGTGTCACCATTATGAATGGGATTCAACTAGTTCTGCACCATGGTAACGATGATAAGTGAATACCTCTGAGACCATGTTTGAGGCAGTGCTCCATGACAACGAAAAACTGCTGGAGTGGGGGGTAGTCCGAGTCCAGTGTGCGTCCAAAACTGAGGGCCGACTCGATCAGGCCTTTGATGCTGAGCTTGGCCATGTTCAGCAGGTTGGCTCTCTCCATCGCCATAGGGTCCCGCAGAGCTGGAGAGTGAAGGGAACAGACACACATTAGGCAGTAGTCAATTCAAACTACCTATTATATGTCAACAAAGAGCCATGCCATTATGTTTTGCATAGTAGTGCACCCATACATACAGCACATATCGAGATCTGTAATGCCCATCTACATTATGTCAATAAACAGTCACGGATTCATCATCTCACATTTCATAGTTCTCTGCAATATGTGTTGTACAGACATGATACTGTATGTAGGCACGTTATTGGGTTTCATCCTGGCCAATAAATAACCTTTTCTGATCAACTATATTTGTGATGAGTGTTTCATTACTATTTCTGATCAAACCAGAAGAAAACATTGATCAGAAACAGTTTTGCACTGGCCTCTAGCTGTAAATATGCAACTGACACATGGGGCAAACGACGTCATCTATTATGTTGCTATTCTGCTTCTGATCAGAGTAGTCAGTAGGCTGTCATTCTGCCGCACCACTTTTCATGTGTGAGAGATCTATTCTTGTGCATTACAGGCCTATTCCCACTCCACAAGGGATGCAGCTGGTCTGAATCACCCAAAGTAACTGCAGCAAGCATCGCATCTTGATCACGCTATGAGCTCGAGGTGTGGTTCTAACTAGCTAGTAGTCAGTAGAAAAACCACGTTAACCACACAAAACCATCATAAGGTTATCACAATTTGACAGTGAATGAATTGAATTGATAAGAGAATAATTTTAAACAGATTCGTCCGCCGATGCGCAGGCAGAGAAATAGAGGCACGCTGCTGCTACATTGATTGTATGATACCAATCAACAATGCAAAATCAAACAAAACAAGATGAGCGCATAACTCCAAATTACCTTGGGCACTCCATTCGTTTACAAAAGATGTTGGTTCCGCTACCTTCGCCAAAACATGACTGCTGCTTCCTGAAAAGGTCTCCGATGCTTTCCTGGCTAGTGCAAATATGGGTGCCTGCCATCTCCCGTCCCCTGCTCTCATGGTCGTGGACGTGTTGGTGCTAGCTTTTTCACCCGCCGATTTTTCTTCCTGAAACCTAAGGATTCCGAATACTTGAGACTTTTCTTTGTTGCTCTCTGCTTCAGCTAATGCAAGGTCGTGCTCTGCAGGTGTCGCCATCGTCGAAATATCATACGGAGAATTCACCTGGCGACCATTGTTGCAGAAATGTCTGGGATAGCATTGCTAAATGATCCAATGCCAACCCTATAATGCCCATCAAATTTCGTCTACATTTTAAGTGTGAACACCGCTTTCACATTCATTAATTACAAATTATTATCCCTTATTCGCCGTAGAGTGTAAAGATCACATGAAGCAGAATCCCTCAGGTCCGTATGGGTGGTGTCAAAAACGCACACAAAAGCACTACGTAATGGAGTGACATACTTGGGATTCTACTACCCTCTACCGCGGGCTGGAAGAAACCAAGTTGTTTCTGCATATTATTTATTATTATATATATTTATTTATTGCAATGATATATAAATGAATCAATTATTTAAATGGCGTAAAATAAAAAAAATATGATTTAAGTAATTCAATATTAATAAAACAATTGGTATACTTGCCTAGCTCTATACAGTGTTTAGAGAAAATAGAAGTGATGATCAGCCATGAATATTTGTCAGCAAAAATTCATAGAAATTAATCTTACTCATAAATGAAAAAATGTGTCACTACATACATTTGATGCATGTCCCTCTAAAGTTAATAAATTATCTGAAATGGATAGTTTTCATAATTCAATGGAGCCTTTCAGTAGGATTCCAGTTTTTCCAAGTCTGTGTCAGTAAAACTCAGTTTAAAAAAAAAATAGTATTGCAGCCAATTGTCTTGTACCACAATGTGATTGAGGATAAATGATAGTCTATCTGCTTTTGTTTACCTTGACTGTATGCAAGCCGCTCCATGCTCTCAGTATGAGTGATGCCCCAGCGATGTAAACTCTGAGGGGAGTACATGGTGAAGATCACTTCGACCCAAGATGATCCTGGGACCTGGACACACAACTATTTAGTCTGCAATAAGAGAGGAGAGTAGTCCAAGTGCTACATAATATATACGGGAATGCCAACAACAGCCTTACAAAAACAAATCACACACATTCTCCCCATGAGAATGGGCTCCCGAGTGGCGCAGCGGTCTTAAGGCACTGCATCTCAGTGCTTGAGGCGTCACTACAGACCCCCTGGTTCGATTCCAGGCTGTATCACAACCGGCCGTGATTGGGAGTCCCATAGTGCGGCGCACAATTGGCCCAGCGTCGTCCGGGTTTGGCCGGTGTAGGCCGTCATTGTAAATAAGAATTTGTTCTTAACTGACTTGCCTAGTTAAATAAAGGTAAAAATAAATGAGAGAATAATGTTTGTGAAATGTAAATTATAATTCATACAAAACTAAAATCACAAGGGGCATGGATTTGTGGATATTATACGGAATTAAGGGGAAAATAACTGATTTATGTGCCTGAGGGCCAACTGAGGTGGATACAGACACAGGTGTCAGTTGGTCACAAACCGACATAAAACATGACTATTCTGACACACAGTCTAATGTGCACTTTATTGTCCTTAGTTTCAAATCTGAACCATAACACAGCAACTCATGAGACCATGGAGCAAGATAAACAAAATGATAAACAATGTATTAAAGCCAAGCAATATGATTATAAATGTGTTGTTCTTAGATCCATTAAGTAAATAAGCTGAACATTGTTCGGTGGAACCATGGAGATCCTATTAACTTACCTATTCTAATTCTTGATTCTATGGGCGGAACAGCCGCCTTATATTTTCAGAAACAAGCAGGAACCGGGACTGTGGAGTCCATTGTGTCCACTGACAGTGTCAGTAATATTTCTGCTGTTTTCCTGCTGACTTGCCAGTCAGTGCTGTGCTATCATATGACTCTGATTTCCTGCTGCACCCTCCCTGTCTACCAGTTACACATGGACTGAGATATATCCTCTGCACTCTGTAACATCCTCCCTGAGAGATATATATATTCTATACTGTAACGCCCTCCCTGAGAGATATATATAGTCTATACTGTAACGCCCTCCCTGAGATATATATTATATTCTGATGTCGCTCTTCTTTGGGCGGCAGCTAGTCTAGTGGTTAGGAGCTTGGGCCAGTAACCGAAAAGTTACTGGTTCAGATCCCCGAGCCGGCTAGGTGAGCAATCAGTCAATGTGCCCTTGAGCAAGGCACTCAACCCTAATTGCTCCAGGGTCGCAGTCAATAATGGCTGATCCCTGGCTCTGACCTTTCTCTCAGGGGGAGTGGGATATGCAAAAAACACATTTATAATTCACACTTTGTGTGAAATAGGACAATTATAAGCCCCCACCTAATCATTATCTTATTATTACTCTGTAACATCTTCCCTGAGATATATATTCTACACTATAACATCCTCCCTGAGATATATATTCTACACTTTAACATCCTTCCTGAGATATATATTCTACACTCTGTAACATCCTCCCTGAGATATATATTCTACACTTTAACATCCTTCCTGAGATATATATTCTATACTATAACATCCTCCCTGAGATATATATTCTACACTTTAACATCCTCCCTGAGATATATATTCTATACTATAACATCCTCCCTGAGATATATATTCTACACTTTAACATCCTCACTGAGATATATATTCTATACTATAACATCCTCCCTGAGATATATATTCTACACTTTAACATCCTCCCTGAGATATATATTCTATACTATAACATCCTCCCTGAGATATATATTCTATACTGTAACATCCTCCCTGAGATATACAGTACCAGTCAAAAGTTTGGACACGAACTCATTCCAGGGTTTTTCTTTATTTTTACTATTTTCTACATTGTAAAATAATAATGAAGACATCAAAACTATGAAATAACACATATGGAATCATGTAGTAACCAAAAAAGTGTTAAACAAATAAAAATATATTTTATATTATAACATCCTCCCTGAGATATATATTCTATACTGTAACATCCTTCCTAAATATATACTCTACACTGTAACATCCTCCCTTCTGTGTTCTCTTGTAGAATGTTCACTGAACATATACTAATTAACATTATACAGTAGTACTAAACTAACCGCTGGATTGTCTGTCCGGACTCTGATGAAAATAGTGCTGACTTACCTCAGGCAGAGCAACAATAGCAGCAGCACACTGCTGGGCTTGTTTCAGCTGGGCTCAGACTGACTCAGTAACTCCAGATCTTGCCTGGCTGGGTTGGGGTCTGTTGGGTGTGCTGCATTGGGCCTTGGTACTGAGGGAGCCTCATCCCTCTGCAGTCAGTCACAGGCAGAGGAGAGGGAATGTCCGCTCAGTGGAACAGCTAGGAGCACATAGTATACATACATGCAGCAGAGGAGATGGGTTGATGAGGGCAGAGGGGAAGAGTCTCCCGTTGAGGAGGGGGGAGGAATGGTTCTGCTTAAGGGGAGGAACAAGCCTATACAGACCAGCCAATCCCTGGCCTCCTGCAGTAAATATAATGGAAAGACATTCAGGAAGTGGTTTAGAGTGACACCAAAGATGGTGGATGAATTAAGATGTCCCACTCAGGCCTTTACCATTGAAAAAAATTGTAAGTTTCGGTCTGCTTAACGGGGTGGCTCTCCCATAGGCACCAATGAATTAGCAACTGAGTCTGGACTGCTTAGTTCATTGACTGTATATGAAGCAGAAAAAAATAGGGAGTATGATGTCTCGCTTCCTCTTCTGTCTTTGGTGACACCTCTGTTTGTATGAATCCATTACTATCAAAATGCATGTAATACATATCAAGATGATGACACAATTGAGGACAGATCACCCAAGATGTATTTCAATAAACATTCACAGTGACAAAAATTCATCAAATAATATGGATTAATATGGATATGAATTTAAGTGACCATTCATCATTTAGTAATATAATTGTATTATTTAGAAGGTCATGGTTTTATGACATACAAAATAAATAACTGCTGTTTTACGTTCAAATGGTAATCCAACTGTCCGATCAGTAAAAATGTAATGTTTAACTGTCCGTAATCTCGGTTAATCCAGAACAAAAAATGTCACGTAATGGTCGGATGCATAGTCTGTCCAGAGAGAAAACGTTTTTCCATATGATGCTCTATATTCTACCCAGAAGATGGCAGTATCTCCCAAGGCAAGAGTCATGGTACCAGCTCCCTCCATCAGATTGAGAATCTGTTCAGTTTGGATTGGTAAAAGGAATGGACAGATTGTATTGCAATTTTTAACCATGTGGTCAAACAGGAATGGTGGAAAGAAAACAAAATTAGTTGTGGTTCCTATTCAAAGAAGGCTGCCAGGCGCCAACATGATGTCACACATTCCAACCATTCATAAACCACAGTGTTTGAAAAATGGATTTAGTTTTAGTGCCCCTTACCTCAAGTAACTTTGACTCAATACAAGCAATCCAATTTTTCTGTTTATTTGATCATCAACATAACACTAGTAGCTGTTTGGCCAGGGTGGTGGCTGCTGGGTAATTGATCTAAAGACTTTCCATACTTGAGTGATCAATAAAACCCTGTGTGTTGTGACAGTTACCTGTCAACAAGTCAATAAAGGCTATGGAGCCGGTCAGCAGCAGGTCATAACCAGGAAGGCAGGGAGCTCCCTCTGAGGAGAGAGATAACACAATCACTATGATCAGGACAGAGGAGTTAGCAAAACCAATTGAGAATCTCCCCAATGATCAGGGCATGGGGATATGAAATCAGGGAACTGTCACAACACACTGGGCTCTTTGTTGGTTGAAAACTCTCTGAATTGCATAAAAAGAAAGAAGAGAGCAAAACAACTTTTCAACCGTTGCCATGGAAGAGCCCAGAATCCTGGTAATTGGGATGAGGTACTGTATATAAGCCACTGCTAACAGTACTAATACATCATTCGTGAACAAAGTAGTCTAGTTTTTTGATGCAACAGAAACAAAGTGCTCAAAGCCTTTCTCCAGCAATACCATTGACGGTCATATATGGTATTGTTTGTATAGGCTTGAGGGCAACACACAAAAAAGTATGCCATTGTTGAGGCCCGGTGGGAGGATATTTAGTCATATTTCACCACACACCAAGACATATAAGGATAAAGATCATCTCTAACTACCTGTTTGAGTATTTCAACGTAACCTACTGTCTCTTATTTTCCACCTACATCTCACAGCTGGCTGCAGTTGTACCCAGTGGTATGGGAGACTCTATCTTTACCTTGGCCACAAATGAGCTGTCACAGAAAATGAATGGACAGGGCAAGTCCAGTAATCTATTAGCACCGAAAAGGCCTCTGAGTGGTATTCTATTGCTATGGGACCCATTGGAAAATAGAGGATGCTGCTAACAAACATCTGTTCTGCTGGCCAGTCAGTGTACTAAACAGTGTACAGTGCCTTGCAAAACTATTCATCCCCCTTGGCGTTTTTCCTATTTTGTTGCATTACAACCTGTAATTTAAATTGATTTTTATTTGGATTTAATGTAATGGACATACACAAAATAGTCCAAATTGGTGAAGTGTAATGAAAAAAATTACTTGTTTCAAAAGATTCAAATAAATAAATAACGGAAAAGATGTGCGTGCATATGTATTCACCCCCTTCGCTATGAACCCCCTAAATAAGATCTGGTGCAACCAATTACCTTCAGAAGTCACATAATTAGTTAAATAAAGTCCACCTGTGTGCAATCTAAGTGTCACATGATCTCTCACATGATCTCAGTATATATACACCTGTTCTGAAAGGCCCCAGAGTCTGCAACACCACTAAGCAAGGGGCACCACCAAGCAAGCGGCACCATGAAGACCAAGGAGCTCTCCAAACAGGTCAGGGACAAAGTTGTGGAGAAGTACAGATCAGGGTTGGGTTATAAAAAAATATCCAAAACTTTGAACATCCCATGGAGCACCATTAAATCCATTATTAAAAAATGGAAAGAATACGGCACCACAACAAACCTGCCAAGAGAGGGCCGCCCACCAAAACTCACAGACCAGGCAAGGAGGGCATTAATCAGAGAGGCAACAAAGAGACAGAAGATAACCCTGAAGGAGCTGCAAAGCTCCACAGCAGAGATTGGAGTATCTGTCCATAGGACCACTTTAAGCCATACACTCCACAGACCTGGGCTTTACGGAAGAGTGGCCAGAAAAAAAGCCATTGCTTAAAGAAACAAATAAGCAAACATGTTTGGTGTTCGCCAAAAGGCATGTGGGAGACTCCCCAAACATATGGAAGAAGGTACTCTGGTCAGATGAGACTCAAATTGAGCTTTTTGGCCATCAAGGAAAACGCTATGTCTGGCGCAAACCCAACACCTGGCGCAAACCCAAACCCAACACTTGAGTGTTGCTTTAGCAGTATGCTCAGGGTCATTGTCCTGCTGGAAGGTGAACCTCCATCCCAGTCTCAAATCTCTGGAAGACTGAAACAGGTTTCCCTCAAGAATTTCCCTGTATTTAGCGCCATCCATCATTCCTTCAATTCTGACTAGTCTCCCAGTTCCTGCCGCTGAAAAACATCCCCACAGCATGATGCTGCCACCACCATGCTGTGGGGATGTTTTTCATCGGCAGGGAGTGGGAAGCTGGTCAGAATTGAAGGAATGATGGATGGCGCTAAATACAGGGAAATTCTTGAGGGAAACCTGTTTCAGTCTTCCAGAGATTTGAGACTGGGATGGAGGTTCACCTTCCAGCAGGACAATGACCCTAAGCATACTGCTAAAGCAACACTCAAGTGGTTTAAGGGGAAACATTTAAATGTCTTGGAATGGCCTAGTCAAAGCCCAGACCTCAATCCAATTGAGAATCTGTGGTATGACTTAAATATTGCTGTACACCAGCAGAACCCATCCAACTTGAAGGAGCTGGAGCAGTTTTGCCTTGAAGAATGGGCAAAAATCCCAGTGGCTAGATGTGCCAAGCTTATAGAGACATACCCCAAGAGACTTACAGCTGTAATTGCTGCAAAAGGTGGCTCTACACAGTAATGACTTTGGGGGGGTGAATAGTTATGCACGCTCAAGTTCTGTTTTTTTGTGTTATTTCTTGTTTGTTTAACAAGTACAACTATTTTGCATCTTCAAAGTGGTAGGCATGTTGTGTAAATCAAATGATACGAACCCCCAAAAAATGCATTTTAATTCCAGGTTGTAAGGCAACAAAATAGGAAAAATGCCAAGGGGGGTGAATACTTTCGCAAGCCACTCAATATACTGTACTATATAGGTATGGGATGTCTCCCTATAGACACTGTCAACTGTGGTTAACTCATAGGGCAGGGTTCTTCAATTCTGGTCCTGGAGGGCCAAAACACCTCTGTTTTTCATCCCCTCCTTCTAATCAGGGGCTAATTCAGACCTGGGACACCAGGTGAGTGCAATTAACTACCAGGTAGAAATAAAAAACAGAAGTGTTTCGGCCCTCCAGGACCGGAATTGAAGAACCCTGTCATAGGGTGTGAACATGGGAGTCAAAAAAAATATAACGTCAGGGTAACTTGCCTTTTCGCAGTGTGGTGAAAAGACAAACGTTGCTGATAATGCCGTGATGATAAGAAGTCCGCTGACACTGTACTTTGTTTATAAAGGTTTATTATAACAAAGAGTTTCAGCGTCAGATTTACAGATACCTGCAGATATCTGAAGAACAGCCGGAGCCAATTCTGTAATTTGCTATTCCTCTCTCCTCTCTTCAAGACATGGTATTTATATCCTATGTGACATAGTATGGCGTGATTTTAATACCCAATCCCTGGCTTTTCTACATATCTCCCCATATCCTTTTTTCCAGGAATTTAGTAATGCTTTCCAGATGTTTCAGCAAGCAGAGCCAAGTTTCCTCTAACACACTTTTTGAAAACGTCAGCACAATCATAGACCCTAAGACACTACAGCAGCCCCTTCAATTGCATGAAATCATATTTGATTGAGTTTTAAGTGGTCTGTGGTTGACTGTCTCACAATCCTTAACAACTTTCCAACAGCTGGCTTTTGGCAAGATAAAAATAGCATTGATCTTACACAAAAGGTCATCATCCATCTGTGTAACAACTCAGCTGTATCTGTGTCCCTATATTTGTCTCACCCTGAGAGCTGCTAGTAGGGAACACTTTTCTATCTTGTTGTTAAGTGAAGAGGCATCACAGGCAGGCGTACGTCTTGG